GAGATACAATCCAAACAGGCCTATTGTTTCCTATTTTCTTTTTTGTAGCAAAAATTATTGAATCTATTGACCTATGCAAGCATTTTTGTTTCATGTATACATGAATATACCTCCCCAATGCACTGCAGTTGTGAATGTGATTTATTTAAATCATAATTAGTTTGAGCATTTACATTCCATTGTGCATCATTGTGTTCCTTAGTCAAACATCATTTGTGCCTTCTCTATTGCACAAGATTTCGGTCTAAGGATGTCCCATTGGTTCACAATGGCAGATTGGTGTCCATTTAGTACTAGTGCCCCCTTCAATTCTTATCAAAGTTAGATCATATGTCGTACGTTGTGCCCCTCGTCAACAAAAATTGAAAGGATTTGAACCTTTGAATTTAGATCCCATAGTGGCATGATACCAATACTGATTATTTCTTTTTGGGTCTTTTTTTTATTTCCCCCTCTTCCTCCTCTCTCCTTAATCCTAACCAATTTCCCAAATCAGGATGACGTGAAAAATACCTCATCATCATCAACACAAGCCACTGTAAGTCATGTCCATATGATGTCCGATGACTTTACCTTTGAATGAATAGAAGTCTTGTTTTCTGGTTGAAAGTATGTGATTTGAATTCGAAACTTCCAAGTGGATTTGCTGGTATTCTGAATTAGACCCATTCATGGCTGTTTCATTGTTTTCTCTGGTTTGGGTTTTTTCTTTCTAAACCTCCCCCTCTCCCCCCAAAAAAAAATTAAGTCATTTAATATTATATTAGTGTGATTTTGAGACTTTTTTTTTCATTTTGTTCATGATTTTGAACTTTATTGTCAAAAATATACGTTATTTGTATGGAAAGTGTTGTTTAAATCCATTGTATTCCATGAAGAAGTTCGCTTGTAAAACACGTTATTTAATAGAAAACTTTGATTGTGTGTTTTGGAAATATGATTTTACATTAAAAAAAAACATGCCTAAACTGAAAAATAAGCTAAAAATGGCAGCAAATAGAAAGAAATTCTAATATATTGGTAGAATGGTTAAAAACTTTAGAACCATTCTGGGATCTGTAATCTGTTAGGATTTAAAAAAATACAGATAAATATTGGGTATAGCAGTTACATTGTGTCAATACACAATGTTGATGTGGTGTAACCATCTAATAAAACAAATGAATTAAAGCTCACTTCTTATTATGAAGATTTGTTATGTATTACATGACTGAGTGAATATATATGAATTTTTATAGAGCTCCTTGTTTATTTATTAGTGGATAGTTATATTTTTTTCAAAAAAAATAAAAGATTGATGGGGTCAAGCTCAACACCCAGGTGTAGAACCCATCAACAAAAATTCCCATATTGTGCACAAGGTTGTTCTGGGTCTAATATAATCCAAAATCACCCCCCGGGGGGGGGGGGGGGGGGGGGGGGGGGGGTTATTCATAATTTTTGATAACTTTTTTGTTTCAATTTTGGGTTGTAATTTCGGTTCTCGGTTTGGTTAGAAAGAAATTGATGATAGAAAATAAAAAAAGTAGAAAGGAAATGAAAAGGAAAATTTATTTTTTTTGTATGCGTTTGATTAGAATAAAAAATTTTCTAGAAAAATTAATGTAAGGACTAAATTATCCTTCTTATATCAATCTTCTCATATCAATCTAATGGGAAAAAGGGTAAGCGGGTAAAGCATGGAAAATAAGACAAACTTTCACGAGAAAAAAAAATGACCCGCACAATTTGTGGGAAACTAAAATAGATGGTTTAAAAAATTTAACAATTAGAGGGAAAAAAAAACTTTCTTCAAAAGTTGTACTTTCTAGTTAAATCAATTAAAGCAAAAGTTACTTTAAAAAAAAGTTACTTTTCCGTAACTAAAGAAAAAGTTTCTTTTTTTATTCTGTTTTATTGCACTTTCCAGAGTTTTGACGTTAACCAAACGGAGTTATAAATATCTTAATTTTGGTATAAATAACTTATTTTAAACTAAATCAAAAAAAAATTAATTAAAATATGTATAAATTAACTTAAATATCGTGACCCAAAAAAAAATGGGTTGTAATTTTCAATCAACTCAAGAGCCCAACACCACAATTGCTGTGGAAAACGTCGAGTCATTATTAACCCAATGACTAGCCCCATGTTTTCATAACAATGAACACGGTTTCCACTACTCTGGATCGACTTTTAAACACCACCACCCTCCCCCGGCGCGCCATTCTCCCAACAACTCCCACCCACCCACCTTCTTGTTGCCCCGAAAGTTCTATAAATAGCTGGTAGTGCGGCTAGTGCCTCATCATTTTTACACACAAAACCAGTGACAAACAACTGAAAATGAAAACAGTTTCTTTGATTACACTCCTTTTGGTTCTTCTCTTCTCCATGGCATGGGCAGCTTCAGCTCAGACTCATGGAGATTTCCTTCAATGTCTTTCCCTCAAGTTTCATAACTCTACCTCAAACCCTGAGGTGATTTTCACTCCAAAGAGCCCTTCTTATTCTTCTATCTTGCAGTTCTCCATCCAAAACCTAAGGTTTATATCACCTCGCACCCCACAACCTTTAGTTATAATCACACCATTGAATGAGTCTCATGTTCAAGGGGCTATATATTGTAGTCGAAAGCATGGGATTCAGATAAGAGTACGAAGTGGAGGACATGACTATGAAGGTCTTTCTTATGTTTCTCGAGTACCATTCGCCATTATTGATCTAACAAACATGCGATCAATCTCTGTGAATGTTCAAGACGAAACTGTATGGGTTCAAACTGGTGCAAGACTTGGTGAAGTTTATTATCATATTGCAAATAGTAGTAGAACTCTTGGTTTTCCAGCTGGTCTTTGCCCTACCGTAGGTATTGGTGGATACATTAGTGGGGGAGGCTATGGTTTGCTACTACGTAAATATGGTATTGCTGCTGATCATGTCATTGATGCTCGATTAATCGATGTTAATGGTAAAATTCTTGATAGAAAATCAATGGGAGAAGACATCTTTTGGGCAATAAGAGGAGGTGGAGGTGGTAGTTTCGGAGTGGTATTGGCTTGGAAATTACAATTAGTTGCTGTTCTAGAAACTGTGACTATTTTCTCAATAAATAAGACCTTGGAACAAAATGCAACCAAGCTTATTCATCGATGGCAATATATTGCGGATAAGACTGATGAAGACCTTTACATCAGAATTTTCCTAAGAAGTGTGAATTCTAGTCAAGGTGGAAAAAGAACGATACTTGCTTCGTTTGATTCCTTGTTCTTTGGTGGAGTTGATAGATTGCTTCCATTGATGCAACAAGACTTCCCCGAATTGGGTTTGGTGAAAGAGGATTGTACCGAAATGACTTGGATTCAAGCAGCACTAAATTTTGCTGGTGGACAATCACTTGATTATTTGCTAAACAGGACTGATCCATGGAGAAGTAATTATAAGTTAAAGTCAGATTTTGTGAAGAAACCAATTCCTGAGCACGCCTTTGAAGGGATATGGAAAAGGTTTCATGAAGAAGAGGTCGACGTGCCCGTGATGGTGTTGACTCCTTATGGTGGAAAGATGAGTGAAATATCGGAATCTGAATCGCCTTTCCCACATAGAGCTGGAATCAAATATGGCATTGTATACCAGGCGGGGTGGGATGAAGACGGCGAAGCGGCTTCAAGACGGCATATAAGTTGGATCCAAAGTCTTTACAAATATATGGCCCCCTACGTTTCCAAGAATCCAAGAGCTGCATATGTCAATTACCGAGATCTTGATTTAGGAGTCAACAGTGAAGGTAACACAAGCTATGCACAAGCAAAGAGGTGGGGCGTTTTATATTTTGGGAAGAATTTCGACAAATTGGTGTATGTAAAAAACTTGGTTGATCCCGATAATTTCTTCAGACATGAACAAAGCATTCCACCTGTATCATCACGGTTCATGAAGGGATCTGGTCATCAACCTCATGCAGGAAGAGATTCACACTAGAAATCTTATCTTCACCATACATGCAAGTATCTGCTAGCATATTAGTCACTAGTACTGTTCATTGTTTCTTCTTGTTTGTATTCTTCATCTTTTATGTCCTGCTTTCTTGTTGTCCTTCTTGTGTCTTCTATTATATTGAAATAATAATGGCATTAATGTTTATTTAATTTCATCTTTTTATATGGGGATTTTATTTTAATCAGAATTGAATGAATTCAAACTTTGACACCCTATGAAGCCATAAGTTATTATGTTCAATGTTGTCAATCCATTGACATATAATAATGAAATGGCGATATGATAGAAATGATGGATTTGAACTTTTTTTTTTCAATCTAGTATTCATTAATAATCAATATAATACACCAATTTTCTACGTTCTTCTTTAATACCCATCCGATACAGAATTTTTCAAAAAAATGGATAATTTTTTCTTCGTCATTAATTTTCGAATAGAAATTGAGGATGGAGTGAATGGACCAAGTCGTCATTAATCTAACTACAAGGATGTGATTTTATTTTTTGACAGAGTGATAAGTGTTCCCTCTTGCTCACATGTGGTTCCGAGTTCTAATCTCCCTCTTGGACAAAAAAAGAATGAAAAGGGAAAATTTAGAACATAAAAAAAAATAATAATTAAAATTACTAATCTAATTTTCCTATATTATTAATTAGGTACTAACATTTTGGAGCAATTAGAACCCTACCATTTAGCCAGGAAACTTTCTTTCCGTGCAAGAATTAAGGACAGGCAAAATCCAATTAAGGTAAAAACTTTCTTTTTTTCCTTAATTACCCCTGATTTTCATGCCTCGCGATAATAGCGACTGCCTAAAAGCCTGGGGTAATCCAGTAACTTCGCTCCTAAACCCTAACCGGGAGTCACTGAGCCGCGTGGAGGCCCAAGACAGGATACAACACTGAAAAGCCCACATTAGCGATAATGCCACGTGGCAGCCTTACTAGATAATGACGTGGACATGTAACCGCAGCCTCCCTATATATATCCTCCCTTCGTTCTCATCCATTACCATCCGCCATCACTCTCTCTCTCTCACGCACATAAACGCACACATCTCTGCCTGAAACCGATCGAGAAGAGAACTAGAGATCAATTCATACACAGAATCTATATATTCGCCAATTCAAATCGTGAATCACAGTTCAAAAACTGTTTGTCTAGGGTTTTCATCGATCTAGGGTTTGTTATAGATACAGTCGGTGTGCTCTGTGTGCGAAGATCTGGTTCGATTGGATTTTGCGGTCTCGTGTCTTGGCTCGAGATCCGGGCCAAGCACAGAAGAACGGGTTCGGGAAGAATCGCTGCAGATTCGGTGGCTGGTTAGGGTTTCGGACCGGTCACACTCACTGTTCTCTCTCCAAGTACAGAGAGGTAATGAATTAAACTGATTCACATATACTATCCTTTTTCTAGTGTTCTGGATTTGATTTGTTATTTATTTTGATTGATGTGAATTTTAAAAGCATGCCGTTTTTGGAAAAAAAAATTAGGACCGTAAGATTGGTATTTTGATAGTGCCGTAGGACTTGACTGAAAATGTAGTCTGGCTGAGGGGTTTTTGTTTACTTCTTTCATCAGTTCACTGCTTTTATTTTATTTTTAGGATTTGTATTCGTCTGTAGAATTTGAGAACGATGCCATACGGTGAAATCTTGGACTTTAAGATTTTTGAGTGAATGGTGTGTAGGATTTGTGAGTGTAAATGGCGTCAAGTGAAGGGTTTTTGACGGAAGAGCAAAGGAAGCTGTTAAAAGTAGCGACGCAGAATGCAGAGGTGTTATCATCGTCACCGAAATCAACGACCCCAAAGTCCCCCTCTTCTCTGTTTTCTGAACATCATATAAAGGCTCCGGCAGGTGGGAAGGCACCGAACGCTGGGATTGCTGTGAGGCATGTCCGCCGCTCGCACTCGGGAAAGTATATTCGAGTGAAAAAGGGTAAGTGTAGGGGGGATTTCATGTGTTGATTATATTGAATTTTGGTCAGATTTTTGGTATTTTAGGTGCTGATTAGTTTTTCTTTTCTACATTTGAATCCACCTTTTCTCATTCCCATACAGACAAGGTCTGATGTGTGCAGCCTAACTTTTAGGATCTCATGGATGAGTCAATTTCATTGTTGTTACTCTTACAGGCAGAAGTCAACTGAATTGATAGCATATTGGCATGCTGTGTTGTCACAGGATTTGTCATTTTTTTTGCTAGAAAACTCGTAATTAAGTTTAATTTCTTTTAGTTTCTGATTGGGTAGTACAAAAAGAGTATTAGATTCAATTTCATAACTTGGTTTGATATGAATTACTTTTATGTTGGCATGAGATTTGCTTTTGCATCTTTTTGTTTAGAGTAAAAGCTTTTACATCTTTTATTGCAAGATGTAATCTGCTCATACTTCTTTAAAAATGTATTTGAGTTGGGTGATACCAGATTGAATATAAGAATTTCAGTGATATCACTGATTATATGTTATTATAAATGCTTCATACATGCGATGGTACGTTGAAGAAACATGCTATGAATTTTACAAGTTTTATTATTACTGAGGTAGCATGTTGGGTTGTTGCAAAAATTCGTCCATGATTTCCCTAAAAGCCCACTGGCTTGGCAGAAAGGCTAAATTGAAAATGCAATAGGCACAAGGCCCCAATTTGTCCCGTGTGCATTTCTTATGATATATGCCCTCTAAAGCTCTTCGTGTCAGTTTGAGGAAACCACTGCCCTTTAACATGCTTGATGCTTGACATCAACACATGTTCTCTCAACATTCTCTCCCTTGCTAATCCCATTCCCAACGCTTTTTTAGCTGCATGTGCCAAGTACGAATATATATGAACTATGAAGGGTGTGATTGTAGATGCTATTGCTCATGTGCAAGCTCATCTTATAGTTGAATCTTTAGGAATTATGATCTCCATTCTTACTTGTGATCCAAGAATGTCCGACAAGAGAAGTTCACATCTTATGTTGGTTTGATGTGACGTACCTGATTGGAAAGGTATCCAAAGTGTATTCAAATGTTGGGTGTTCAATATGCCATAATCAAGTACATTTTGGAATATGTCATCCTTGTCAATTTTCCTGAGGTGTGCGACATGTCTAACACACTGAACATTGGAAGGGATTCCCTCATGGATGGAATACCTTCGTTTGGTCTGTTACTTGTATCTAATCATCTGCTTAAATTATCAATTGGGCTTTATTCTCACACAAAGCAGACTTTTTACCCAGTGGACAATACTTTCCATTCTTTTAGATCATGAGATCTAATTTTAAACTTATGCATAGTGCATCTAGGGATTCTTATTTTAACTACTTAAGAAAAAATTAAAAAAAAAAAAGACTTGTCTTGAAGTGATAATGCAAACCGAGTGAGTTAGTTTAGTGTAAGAACATGGTAACAAGTAGATCTAATAATCATTGTTCCATTTTGTGGTTGGTTGTTTCCTACTTAATTATTTTTCACCTGAACGGGTTAATCGTCCTATCTCTATCCGAAACTTGCAAAACTGTCACCATTCCTATGGTCTTATGGCCGTTCAATTAAAATATCTTTGTAAAAGGTTGTTGATCCTCACTAGGATTGGTGGTGCCAGCTATCGCAGTTAGCGAAGATCCGCCATACACACAATGTGCCCTTTGTGTGTATTCTAGCTATATATTCTTAATTATCACAGTGCATTTTGATGGAGTGGCCACAGCTGCTCTTGGCATTCCTTCTTTTAGGTGCCAGTTGAAGTTTCAGCCTCAGGGTCCTACAACGGTGTATGTTCTAGGCCTTGTGTTTATGTTTTGCTGTGTTGGGTAATTCTTTGAAGCTTAACATTTTTAGCAGATATACTTATGAAAAAGGTATTTCCAGCAGAGTACTAAGGTGACGTTTTCATGTAACTTATATAATACAAGTTAAGAATATTGCCAAGGAACTGTTGTGTATATTTGTTAAACTGCAAATTGCCACTAGTTGATATCGAACTTTAAGCATGTGCAATGGTTCTGCACTGTCAACTACTTGCACAGTGCAATGAACTATTAGTTGATTTATCTTCTTTCGGATTTTCACAAATATTATGCCTTTTAACAGGTATTTTTTTTTTCATCAACTCCTTTTCTATGCTTGTTAGTTGATTTATTTTCAAAAGCATTTACCTGCTTTACTCAGTTTTTTTTAGCAAACACCCCCCCCCCTTCTCCAACTTCCTGTTGTTTTCTTTTTTTTTTTCCCCCCTTTTCTCCTTCCTTTTTTTCCCAGTACTCACAGGCTTCTCTTCAATTAATCGTAAAAACAGATGGTGCTGGTGGCAAGGGTACCTGGGGTAAACTGCTTGACACTGATGGTGAATCTCGTATTGATCGAAATGATCCCAACTATGACAGTGGCGAGGTGACTGCCGAGTTTGATTCATTTTAGCTTTCTTGTCCTTTTGACTTACATGTTACTTACCTATTCTAGTCTGATAGATCAGCTATACTCTTGCCACATCTGTACTTTAGAGGAGTAGCTTGACTTAACAGAGTTAATATCATTTTTTCACTTATTTAGGGTCGCTTGTTTGTTGTCACTATCTATGTCTGTGTTGTTCTTATTGCTGTTTTCTTATCCTTGACACTAACAGGAACCATATCAGCTTGTTGGATCGACTGTCTGTGATCCGTTGGATGAATACAAGAAAGCTGTGGTTTCCATTATAGAGGAGTACTTCAGCAATGGTGATGTGGAATTGGCGGCATCTGACCTCAAAGAACAAGGGTCAAGTGAATATCATCCCTATTTCATTAAGAGGCTTGTCTCCATGGCCATGGACAGGCATGACAAGGAGAAGGAAATGGCTTCAGTTCTGCTTTCAGCTCTCTATGTTGATGTCATCAGCTCAACCCAGATTAGTCAGGGTTTTGTCATGCTTCTAGAGTCTGCTGATGACCTTGCAGTGGACATACTGGATGCTGTGGACATCCTTGCTTTATTCATTGCTCGTGCTGTGGTCGATGACATCCTCCCCCCAGCTTTCATCACCAGGGCAAAGAAAACCCTTCCAGAATCTATGAAGGGATTTCAGATTCTCCTAACTGCTGAGAAAAGCTATCTCTCAGCTCCACACCATGCAGAACTTGTGGAGCGACGATGGGGCGGTAGCACCCACATCACTGTTGATGAAGTGAAGAAAAAGATTGCAGATCTTTTGAGGGAGTATGTAGAGAGTGGAGACACTTCAGAGGCCTGTCGGTGCATTAGGCAGCTGGGGGTTTCATTCTTTCATCATGAAGTTGTAAAAAGGGCTTTGGTTCTAGCCATGGAGATTCGTACGGCAGAACCTCTGATTCTGAAGCTATTAAAGGAGGCAGCAGAAGAGGGACTGATAAGCTCCAGCCAAATGGTGAAGGGATTTGCTCGATTAGCTGAGAGCCTTCATGACCTTGCTCTTGATATTCCGTCTGCCACAACCTTGTTCCAGTCTCTGGTTCCTCAGGCAATATCTGAAGGCTGGCTTGATGCATCACTTTTGAAATCCTTGGGCGAAGATGGAGAGGTTCAAGATAAGGACAATGAAAAGGTGAAACGATACAAGGAAGAGGTTGTCACAATAATTCATGAATACTTTCTGTCAGATGACATTCCTGAACTCATTCGTAGTCTTGAAGATCTTGGAGCACCCGAGTATAACCCCATTTTCTTGAAGAAGCTGATCACCCTGGCCATGGACAGGAAGAACAGAGAGAAAGAAATGGCTTCTGTTCTGCTATCTGCACTTCATATCGAGATATTTTCAACTGAAGATATTGTCAATGGTTTTGTGATGCTTCTGGAATCTGCAGAAGACACAGCACTTGATATTCTGGATGCTTCAAATGAACTAGCTCTTTTTCTGGCTAGGGCTGTCATTGATGATGTCTTGGCTCCGTTGTATCTTGAAGAAATTGGCAGCAGGTTGGCTCCAAATTGCAGTGGGAGTGAGACAGTGCATATGGCTCGGTCACTTATAGCTGCCCGGCATGCTGGTGAGAGGATCCTGAGGTGCTGGGGAGGTGGGACAGGTTGGGCTGTCGAGGATGCAAAGGATAAGATACTGAAGCTCCTCGAGGAATATGAAAGTGGAGGCGTAGTCAATGAAGCTTGCCAATGTATACGTGACATCGGAATGCCTTTCTTCAATCACGAGGTGGTGAAGAAGGCTTTGGTTATGGCAATGGAGAAGAAGAACGATAGGATGCTGGATCTGTTGCAGGAGTGCTTCAATGAAGGGATTATCACTATAAATCAGATGACCAAAGGCTTTGCCAGAATCAAGGATGGGCTTGATGATCTTGCTCTTGACATTCCTAATGCAGAGGAGAAGTTCAAATTTTACGTGGAGCATGCCAAGAAGAAAGGCTGGCTTCTACCCACTTTTGGCTCACCTGCTGCAGATGCTCCCCCGACTTGAGAAAAACATATATTTCAGTTTGTTTCTCTCATGTATGATGTTACCCATTTTGTACTGCGTAATTTGTTTTTAACGTGCTTCAGAAGTGCATAGACATGGGGATGTTCAGTTGCCCTTCTGATGCATTCTTTTATAATTTTCACCCCCCTCTGTTACCTGACGGAGTTTGTTAATGTATAAAGTAGGTCTTTCGTCCTTTTTAACATGGCCCTTAGGCCGGTGCTGCATTTTGAAGGCAAAGGGTTCTGAATTCTGATACAATGTTGCTGTTTTGTTGTTAGCCTGGTTGTTCACTTAATGGGGAAGCTGGTTTTAGATTATTATGACATAAAAAGTCCACTCTAAATTATGTGTTCTGGTGCATTGCAACTTGAAAACCTCCTTTCTCAACATTGGTTCTGTTGGACTTTTCAGCTGCGACCGTATGAATGTTGTGAACCACTCGTATGTTCCGACGTTTCTGCACCCAATGTAAGATTGTTATCTCCTTTTGATCTCTCGTAGTGAGTGTACACGGATGTATAATGCGATGTTGCCGAGTGACACTTCAACATGTAAAAGCTAAATTCAACGAGAGAATGTGACTATAGCCAGAGTAATTCATTTTGCCTTTTTTTCTTTTTACATAATTAAATTTATGCATTTCTTGTATGAGACATATACGGGCTTTAATCGGCGGCAAGAACTCAACTTTTACTTTCGGATTTTAATTTTATTATAAATAATTTAGATTAAAATTCTAAGATAATTTTTTTTTCAATATGATAGTAAGAAATTTGTTTTTCATTCTATAACCTTATGCATAAGTTTTTCGATACGCTTTTTTCTTGATAGATCATATATTATGCATTCAAGTAGGACTCGTTAAATACAAAATCATTAATAGTTGATAATTTATTAAAAAAAATTAAAAATATATATTATAAGAGATTTGACAAGTTCTTTCCATATAAATCAAACAGATTTATTTCCGAAAGAGTTTGACAATGAGTTTAGAAATGTCTGAGATCGAAAAATTATTTTTCAAACAAAACGATTTGATTGACTAAGAAAATAAAAAAAAATTATACAAGGTTTGTGTTTTATCACCAATTTGTGAAAAATCCGGTATTGGACCTATAATCTACAATTTGGGTAGATGACCCTCCGTAAGGCTATAAGTCGAACAAATTCGAATTGAGTCTGAAAATTTTGTTTTTTAATTAAACTTAAAAAGTCATTCAAGTTCGACTCTAAGTCTGAGCAAACCTAAAACAAACCTAACTCGAGTATTAACAAATAAATTAATTGAATCTATTAAATCTGAGTTGAGTCTGTCAAACTTATTTTTTAAACAAATTTAAAAATTTATTCAAACTCATCCTCGTTTATTAAACATACAAAAACTCGAATAACCTAATTCGATTATTAGCCCTACAACCTGCCCTCTAATTCGACCCGAAACCAACTAAAAGGAAAAACCATTCTACCATAGTTCTTTCACAGTACTAGTCAGTCGTCTTCGACCGGAAAAGATGTCGGAACCGCACGCCGGCCACCTCTCCGTCCCGGTGAAATCGGAACTCACAATCACAGAGCACATCACTGAAGAGACCTCCAAGAGACTACAAGCCCCCAGACTCGTCGTTTTAGCTGACCTTAACGTCGACCCTCCCGATACCGACGGGACCGATTCGCTCCATAGCTCTCCTCCGGACCTCACAAGGTTTCTCTCCGATCTTAGTCCCTTCCTCATCTAATCTGTTCTTGTTCCATGAATTATCAAAGCTTATGTGAGTGTGTGATTTTTAGGTTAATCAACGATGAAAATAGTCAAGATAAAAACAGTTTAATGAGTAAAGATAATGACGTTGCCGATGTTGAAGGTAAACAATTGAAAAAATTGGGGAAATGCCGTTCGAGACTTACTAGTAAGGTAGAGTATCCTCTTGATTGTGGAGCTGATGCAGATGCTGATCAGAATGGCCAAGGGCCTCCCTCTCGCGAGGAAAAAGTCAGCAGCCTTAAAACCGTGAGTTCCTCTTCAATTATTAGATAGAGTAGTACTATTGGGAACTAATTTGGTAACTTAAATTTGAGAATATAATGCATGAATAGCAATCGATCTTTGGATGAAATTTAATATTGGATAATGAGCATAATTTATTAAGTTCCGAAATCAAGTACAAATAGCATTATTGTTATTGGATATTTCACTTCTTCAATTTACAAGCCTAAATGAGTGGAGCATGGGTTTTTTTTAGGGCTTGGTTCATGTTGCTCGGAAGATGCCCAAAAATGCGCACGCACAATTTATACTTGGGTTAATGTATCAAAGGATGGGTCAGCCGCAAAAGGTAGCTTTTGGATGTCATATGATGTTTTTTCTTTTGGACTGTGCGTGCATTTCATTGTTGCTGAATGGAAGGAATGTATTCTAGGCTGTTTTGGCATATGAGAAAGCAGTAGAGATCTTACTTCGTTCTGAAGAAGAGATTGACAGGCCAGAGTTGCTTTCTTTGGTTCAGATTCACCATGCTCAGGTGCATTAACTGTTACACTGTACTGGGTTGTCACTATATGATGGCAAATTTTTATTCTAACTTCTAGAAACACTAGTTGATGCACAACTGCGATGCACGTGAACAATTTCAATTTATAATTCTTGCTTTTAATCTTTTTGGATGAGTTTTTAGGTGTATTTGTTTGTTGAAGTCTTTAGACATGTTTTTGAATTGTCCATTTTCTAAAAGATTTGGAAAGATGAAGTGAATCTAAAGGAACAACATATATGATTCATAAATTGATAAATTGACCACATTACCTTGCCCTAACAAAACTAAGCAAGTAATAGAGTGCTGCAATTGTAAAAAAAAAAAAAGGTGTACACAAATTGAGTACTACATTACATAGAAATCTAATAAATTATAAAGAACACATTAGGTTTGAAGAGAGTGTCAAACTCCACATAGATTACATTAAAACCCCATGCATAGTGGAAATAGCCACTTAAGTTTAAAATTAGGAAAGCACAGAACTCAAATCAATCCAAATGAAGTATCGTAGAAAGGGGCGTGCTAGCTTTTTATTAATAGCAAGGTTAGGGGGCTGAGAAGCTGTTGCTTGTTGTCTACTTCGCAGAGTCTTCATTTTCCCATTCTATAACTTTCCTTCTTTCATCCGTCCACATGGCTACAAAAAGAGAGAAAGGACGGCTATCTAGAGGGAGTCGTTTAGGTTGTTAACCTAGGAGTTTTCAAATATAAACAAGCATTCAAAATAACAAATAAATAATATCATAACTATCATTACTGCTCCAATAGCAAAGATCTGGACAATCTTCTATATAAACAATAATTTTTGTATTTGTTTCTTCTTTTTTTCTCCAAAGAGACAAGTACTCTTATAATTAAACGAACTATGTGATTGCATTGGATTCTTGAGACAAGGTAGGAACCATTAAATATTGCATCAACTTGTCCAGATAGCTGGCACATAAAATGGGAGGACCCACTTAAGTACTGGATTTTGAAAAATATTCATCATGGTCGTCATGTAGTCTCTTGAACTTGAAAAAAACTTGAAACTTCTCAATGTGATTCCACATCTATGAAACATAGATACTTTATTAAGATCAACGTATTCGTATTAGATAATGTATCGGATATGATACTCGTCGAATACTCGAAGATACGTATATGTATCGAATACATACCAAACATATCCTATCATAAATTAAACATATGAATATTTCGCTAATATTTCTATATGCAAAGAAATATGTGTAATTTTTAATTTTAATCGTTACCTATTCCTTTCACATACAATGCAATACATTAACAAAAATTCATATGACTAGGAAGACACATGGATGTTTTTCAAGTATTATTCATTATCACATGTCCAAAGAGCTTAAATGAGTTGTTTACTCTATAATCTTAGTAACAAATACTTTTAAGAAAATAATATAGTTAAATGTTGGTTTTTATTTTTTTAATTAATCACATTCATTTTATAGATGTGCCATAGTGAGATGATATATAACTTTTTGAAAATAAAAAATTATAATATTATTTATTATTGTTAATTAATCACCAAAAATTATAACTATCAAATCATTACACAGTAGTAAAAATAATATATATATATATAAGCGCATCTTGGCAATACCCGTATCCTAATTTTTAGGGTTTTGTCGTATTGTTTTGTCGTATCCATATCTCGTATTTGTATCCATGCTTCCTAGTCTCACATCAATGCTAGTCCCAAATAGAAAGAAAAGAATAATAAATCTGTTTTTAAAAATTAACAAAACACAGCCACAGAGTTCTACTTCAGAGTGTGAATCTATTTCCCAATTAAGTTGCAATTTCGTTACCTCTTTTTGTATTTGTGCATCCATTTTATTTGGTAATTATTTAATGTCTTCTTTTAGGATAACAAGTGGAAGCCCATAAAGTTTTTAATGACATTTACTAATCGAAGAACCGTGAAATTTCATATGAAAACCTTCTGTATTATAATAGCAATTTATTAGTTACCACACTGCATTTGAATCTTTTTCCATTTATCTTTCAATTTTCTCTTCACGCCAGTGTATAGAAGCACAAGAAGCTACTAATTGCTTCATAAAAATGTCAGAGTTGAAGTAATATAATTTTAGAGCAATGTCAAAAATAAAGAAACTATAACCTATAATTACAACTTCAAAACAAACAAATGAGCATGCAAATCTGAGACCCAACTAGTATTGTTTCTCCCCACAAATGGTGGTTATATGAACTTGTAGAGGGCCAAGTACCGGTAATTCCTCAAAAATGAAGATTTTGGTCTCTAATATTATTAAAGCAACCATCAATTTTTTAGTACACTTATACAGAGTCGGTAACAAAAAAACAATTGTCACTGCTGGCAAACTTCCTAGCAAGGACAAAAAAGGATTCCCAAGTTTTATTTTTTTTTGCAGAAATCTCAGTGTTACAATGTTAATTTTCCGTGGAATATAATTTGTCTTGCCTTAACTTGTATGTCCTTTGAACGTGTGTGAGCCCAAAACAAATAATTATATTAGGTTTTAAACATTCGGTCATACATGAAAAGTGTATTTAACACAAAATAACAGTAGGGTACCCACAAAAAAATTGTAAAAATGATAAAGAAATATATATAAAAAAAAAATATATTATACGTGCGTCAACATTTTTTAGATGAAAAATATAGGTTATGATACCAAAAAGTTTCTTTTTGGTGCGGTATGCACTTGCACACACTTACTTGGTGTCAAGACACACTAATAGGACACCACTTACCCTCCCGTTCACTTCTCATAGAAACCCAAAAGTTGCAGAGATTCAAGTATATTTTTATTGTAAGAAAGAATGGTTAGCCATGGAGCATTCTATAGAGGGACATGCAGAAGCATGGATAAAAATCTACAGGGACTGCAATGACTTTCAAAATTATTCATGTCAACCTTGTCTTCCAAGAGAAAAATCGGTAGATTTTCACAGGCCCTAGAATCGAAACAGAAACATAAACTCATGCTCAAAATCCCTTTTGACTGAATCAATGGGATTAATATTCCCAGATAGTTCAATAAGATTAATATTATGCATAGAGAAATTCTAAGAAACATTAAGCCTCAAAAACTAATCAACAAACCTGCGAAGATGTTGGTCAGTGCCATGGTGGAATGTTGTTCATTATCAAATGAGCTGTGAGTCTGTGACATCAAAAAATATGCTATTGAGAAATAGCAAATAAATAAAGGGCAAAATGAAAAGGTGAGAGAGTGAAAGAGTGAAGTTTATAGGGGCAAGATGAAAAACTTGGTAAAAGAGGACATTAAATAAGCCAAATGGAACATTTTACACCCTGACAATATAGACAATATTGTTTATACATATATTGATGAGGGTTAAATAGAAATCAAAGCATTTTCTCAATTATGCCAAATTTGGTGACTGTTCACCAGCTGGCTCAATGCAAGCTGATATACTCGAAGTAAACAGGTTACATTAACTATTAATAAACAATAATATTGATATTAACTAATTAATTAATGATAAAATTAGTAAACAAAAACTTTCACACTTTTAATACAAGGATAGTATTGATATTAGTTATTTTATTAAAGTTGTTATAGTCAAGTAAAAGTTTTTCACTTTTGTTGACATTTTAGTTATTTTATCAAAGGTTGTTATAGTCAATTAAAAGTTTTTCACTTTTGTTGACATTTTGAAGTAATATAGATATAGATTAAATGTAGTGAATTATATAAACAGATACCCATCTGGATTACATGTTTGATTATTTGCAGTGTCTTCTGCTGGGAAGTTCAGAGGACTATGGTCCAGACAAAGAACTCGAGGCTAAAGAGCTCGAGGAAATTCTTTGTAAGTTGAAAGAGTCGATGAAATCTGATATTAGACAGGCATCTATTTGGAACACGCTAGGCATGATTCTTGTTAAAACTGGTCGTTTGCAGGTAGAAGTACTTAAATGTCTGTGTAATTGCTAAGATTTTTCATCTTTTTTAATCCTCTTGGGCTAATGTTGTTTTCTCTAGACTGCTATATCAGTTTTCTCATCTTTGTTGGCTATTGCACCTGACAATTTGGATTGCCTCGGGAACCTTGGAATGGCTTATCTTCAAAGGTAAGAGGAATTACTTTTATCTGATCTTTTAAGAATAATTGCACGTCTCCAGTGAGCTGTTATATTTGACATCATCATATTAATGGCTTCTAGGGTGGAAGAGGCAATGGTACGACATTCAAGCAAAAAGAGTTTAAGACAAGGTTGGAAGTATTGGAGAGGCTCACAAAAACTGGAATATTGTCCTAGGCAATGTTTACTAGGTAGAAATGAATATCTCACACCTCCGCTCCTCCCCGAAACGAAACTAAAATAAACAATAAATAAAGTAGGTCTGTGGTTTGTGTCTATGAGTTATCTTAGGATAAAAAGAAGCTTGCATGCCGCATGAATATGTGGTAGGGGATCCAAGGAGCATTCAGTTGGTTTCTGATGTTCACATCTGACAAGAAACTCATATGAAGTGGAAACTTGTCTCCATTTCTTTTGTGTGTGTGTTTGTGTGTATACGCGTATTGGTTTTTTATGGATGCAATAGTGAAAGGTTTTTAATGCCCTTATGATGGGCCATCTTTTCTAGCATTGGGTGGTAGGAAATTGTCTTCATTCTAAATCAGGCGACTTATAATCCACTGAACTTCTTCAGTTTCTTGCAGAAGCTGGAGTGCATAATTTCATGTTACTGCACTTGGACTTCCATTTCATAATAGAAGCACATTTGTAAAAGAATAGAGTTTACTCAGTAACTGGTTATTGCAGTCATTTCTCTGTGTCAATTCAGCATCAACCAATCGATTAATATGTTCTGTTATTTCTTTTGACATTTGCATAATAAGAGGCAAAACAGTAGTTCGTTAGGGAAAAAAAAAGTAGTTCGTTAGGGAGGGTTTTTAGTTGTAGCTTCTCTAGGATATCATTTAGTTAAGGGAGATGAATGTCAAATAACAAATCATAATATGGGTGCTATTTATCAAAAAAAGAATGTCATCAAGTAGTTTTCATGGAAAAGGTTTATTCTGGTATTTTTCATTGATAATTCTGAGATAATATGAACTGTTATATTATTATTATATTTCAGTGGGAATTTGGAGCTTTCAGCAAAATGTTTTCAAGAGCTGATCTTAAAGGATCAAAATCACCCCATCGCCTTGATTAACTATGCTACCTTTCTGTTGTGTAGATATGGATCTGTTGTTGCAGGTACAATTATGATTATTTCGAAATGTATTTTGTGGTTTTATCCTTATCGGCCAGTCACTTACAATATTTGTTCCTTATATTGCATGATAGTGGTTAAATGGGTCGGTTTCTTTTTAGAAATGTTCCTTTAAATTTTTTGTGGATATTAGCTGTTATATTGGTGATCCCCAGCTCCTCCAATTCTCAGGTGCTGGTTCAAATGCCGATGAACAGGCTTCCACAAGTCAGGTTATGGCAGCCAATGTTGCAAAGGCATGTTTGTTAGCAGCTGCAAAAGCAGATCCCAAAGCAGCTCATATATGGACCAATCTTGCTAATGCATATTATATGGGTGGTGATCATAGAAGCTCCTGTAAATGCTTGGAGAAGGTGTTCATGGCTGATTGCTACTTTTTGTGCATATAATTGTTTTTTGTTATACATTATTTTTTTCTTTGGAGGAGACTATTCTTCTTGGATTCTGCCTACATATTGAATTTTTTTTATTTTTGCTTCTCTTTTTCTATGCATTATTTCGTTGCAATTTGGGGGAGCCAGTATCCATTTACTTTCTTTTTTCCCCTTACTCTTGCTTAGTCACATGCCACTATTGCATTTGAAATTTGTTTGTTCTCTTCTTATGTGTCTTTGATAAACTTCATCAGTTTCTTTTGCCATGCTTATTGGTCTTTAGGCTGCAAAACTTGAGCCCAATTGTTTCGCCACACGATATGCTGTTGCAGTTCACCGAATTAGGGATGCAGAAAGGTCTCAAAATCCTAGTGAGCAGCTTTCCTGGGCTGGAAATGAAATGGCTTCAATTCTTAGAGAAGGAGATTCTGTTCTGATTGAGCCTCCCATAGCATGGGCCGGGCTTGCCATGGTTCACAAAACCCAGCATGAGATTGCAGCAGGATTCAAAATTGAACAGAACGAATTAATGGAGGTTGAAGAGCGTGCTATGTACAGTTTAAAGCAGGTGCGTTGTGTGGGTTGGTGGGTTTTTTTAATTTATTGGGGGAGGGGGAGGGGGAGGGGGAGAGAGGGGGGGAGGGGGTTATGTTCAGTTCTGATGAAAGTAATAGTTTTTTCCAGAATTTTCTGGAAGTAATATGGCGAATATTGCATGGTAGTTCATGTTTAATGGTGAGATGTTATATCAGCTTTGATAGTCTGTTGGAATTATTTGTCATAATCATGCAAGTCTTAGGTTGGATGCTCATAAAAAAGGAAATGCTACTTGGCCATTTCGTTTGCAATCACAAGATATCCACCCTTAGGCACAAAAATTTACGTAGGCATCCCACTGTCCTCTGTGGGTGCATGGTTAGTGTATTTGGCTACATCCGCTACTTAAATTGGAGGAACTAACAATGGCCTGGGTATGTTTCTGTATCACATTTCATTTGGAGCTCTCTTGTAATCCACGTGGGCCTCTACATGCTTTAGGGTGCATGCATTGATTGTTGGACCACATGTAGAAAAAACTAGTGGGTGACCTGGCGGTTTATGAAAGACATGGTCTCATGTTGTACTATGATAGGCACCTCTCTGGTGATACCTTTAAGCTCTCACATTGGTCTTGTAAATCCAACCCAGCTAGTTGGATAAGACTTTGATTATTTGAGTTGGGTTGTGTCTCTTGCGAATGGAAAGTAAGTAGCATGGCCTTTGCTACTTAAACTGATAAAAATAAGGACAATATGTCTACTAGTACATTCAATGTGGTACTCATTTAGCTGACAAAAGCTCGTTTGACTTGCACTTTTTTAATAATGATGTATTGTTTAGGGTACATATATTTGCCTTCTAATGAATATTTCAAAGGTGGAGACAGTAACAGTAATGCTTCACCTTTTTGTTTAAATCAATCAACAATTCCTTCTTATCATATCCAATGGCAGGGTAGAAAAACTGTGACGTGAGAAATTGGCTTATATTGCATATCATGGCCTTGGTGGCAATTTCATTTTTTATATTTATATATCTTTTTTTGAATCAGGCAATGGCAGAGGACCCAGATGATGCTGTGCAGTGGCACCAACTTGGTCTACATAATCTTTGTATGCAACAATTCAAAACATCACAAACATACCTTAAGGCCACAGTTGCCCGTTTCAAGGATTGCAGCTACGCATGGTCAAATCTTGGTATCCGCAACTTCATTGCATCTGTCTATCTTTTTTATACTACAGTTTTCTTCCCCAGTCAAACTAATTATATGCTCTTAACTTCCCCGGAAAAAAAAACTAATTTGGTTTTAAGATCGTCCTCCTGTCTTACCTTGTCAATGTGCATGACTAGGTATCTCACTGCAGCTACTGGAGTCGTCATCATCACAAGCTGAGAAAGTGTATAAACGGGCCTTGTCATTGGCAACGCCTCAACATGCGCACACAATATTTTCCAACCTTGGAAATCTATACAGACAGAAAAAACAATATGAAAGTTCCAAGGCAATGTTTACGAAGTCACTTGAACTGCAGCCCGGTTATGCTCCAGCCTATAACAATCTAGGTCTTGTATTTGTTGCTGAAGGTCAGTGGGAGGAGGCCAAATTCTGCTTTAACAAGGCGACCGAGTTTGACCCACTGCTTGATGCCGCCAAGTCTAACATGCTTAAAGTAGTGACAATGTGTAGAACGTCTTGAGGCTTGTCTTCAACTTCAAGTCTTACTATGAGATTGACTTGTACTCAAGTGAACGTTGGTCGCTTAATTGTACATGGCTCTGTTTTCATCCAGAATATGAGCATGTAGTTTGGTTGTTTATTTTTCGTCTGATACACAAAAAATAATTGTAAACAAATTAAATAAATACCATATAAATTTTAATGTACATGCGTTACTGGTGTTATTTATTTAGTTTTGGATATGCCATCATAGAAACCCATAAAAAGGCTTTCGTGTTTTCTTTTCTTTTTTTGATTTAACGGTTAAGGAGTGTCCAAGTTAATTTATGGGCATCTTGATTAATCTTTTTTTCGGTTCGATCAGAAGTAGGTCATTCATGTTGGGACTGATTAATCTTCGATCCGGTCAAAAACAGATCATCTACGTCGGGATTAAAGTATTCATGAGAGATAAATTCTATTGACCTGATTGCTAAAAATAATTAAAATTTAAACTTAGGACATTTGAACTTATAGTTCGTCAACAGGCCCGTGGCTGTTGAGATATGTTGAACTCATAAGGGTATTATTGTAATTGACACAAATACATATGTAATTGGATAAATGACTCTTTGTTTCCATTAAAACTCTTAATTTATATTCTAAAAAAAATTAAAATTTTGTATTGTTCTCTCAAATAATTAAAAAAAAAACTAATAGTGTGATCTATTTTAATAAAACCGAGTACCAAATTTTCACATGGAACACTTAAAAATTAAGTAATATGATAATAATTGTGCATAAAAAGACAAGATAAAAATTTGTGGAACAAAGCAATAAACATTTGATTTTGGACCCTATGGTTACTCTTTATCTAATTGAGTAACCTAATATTTTAATTATATCTATTTAGTCCCTAAGATTTTTAATTTATATCTATATAGTCCAATCCCAAACATCCGTGAAAAATTCATAACAATTCTAGTCACATGCCAATCATTTTTTATTTTTTGTAATCACATGCCAATCATGTGTGAAAAATTCATAACGATTCTGGTAACACTTCAATCATGTAGTTTTTAATTTTTTGTCTATTTGGTCTCTAAAGGTCCTAATTTGTGTCTATCTGGTCCCACTTAATTAGCGTGTGACTAGAGGCGCTAATGATTTTTTTGATAGACGTTTGAGATTGTATCACATAAATACAAATTATGAAAATTAGGATGAAATAGATATAAAAAACTATGGACCAAATAGACACTACACATATATTTTGGGGACTAAAAATGTATTTTAACCATAAAATTTTTAATCATTTAAACTGTAAATTTAAAATTTGAAGATGGGCAAAGTGTAATTTGCCTCGGTCATTCCAACAGTTCTACTACACCAAGTTCGAATCGCATTGAGCTTTACTTGCGAGTGGCCGTGTGTTCTGCTCTGAGTTCTGTACCGAGCAGATTAACGATGAAACGATTCTTCCAACCAATAGAGAAGGATGGCTCCTTCAAAAAACCCACTCTCTCTCCTTCTCCTTCCTCAAAGGATAGTGAAAAAACAGCAAAAACTTTTACTTCTGATGATGTGAAAACGAACAGCAAGAAAGACCCATTAAAGTTCTTGACATGGAACGCCAATAGCTTTCTTCTTCGTGTAAAGAACGACTGGCCTGAGTTCACCAAGTTTGTGGAAAGAATAGACCCTGACGCCATTGCCATACAGGTAATTCAATGTGGCTTAGTTGATTCAATTTCTTTGAATTGATGCATTTTTTATTTTTTGTAGTAGTAAATGGGTGTTAATGTTTCAATTTTTGGCATGTAGATACCGGGATCCTGTTATTTTGTATAATGTGAATTTGTATTTGATAATGGGGCATGTAGGGATTGATGCTTGTGATGTGGTGGAAAATAGGTGTTTTATATTTGGGGTTGTAGACATCGAAGAATTGTGTGCGATGGCCAGTTGGCATCTGTAACATTCGACATTTGGGTGTGTGAGATTGTTTTTAGTAATTGGTTTTTGATGGTGGAGTAATCAACTTACTTCAGTAATATTTAACTATATATTATGTTAGCTTGAGTTCAATTTGTTCTTAGAGTTAGATAGTGGTGATTTATGGGGTAAGATGGTTTCATAAAATTTTGGCCTGTGAAATAGTGATATTACTTGGTTTAACTTCCCATGTTATATACACAGTATTCTATAATAATCAGCTTAGAGTGCCAAAAAGGAAGAGGATCGAGAGCCATTGAAGCAGTTGTAGGCCAGTCAACCCTTATGCATGTAAATTAAAAATTTCAAAAATCTTCGTCACATACGAAGCAAAATCATGGAAAAAAGATTTACGTGGCCAACTCTGCCGAATTCAAAAAAAGGCTTTCTTGGGCTGCTCTAACTTGATCATGGATTGTTGAACTTTGCTGTTTGTTTCTGTGACTTTATTCCGCTGACTTGTTTCCCAAATGCAAAATCTGAGCATGAAGTTAAGATTGCTCAAAGTTAGGAAGCTCTAGTTAGTTAAGCTAATGGTCGAAACATAAAAGTATTCCTAGGCAGAATTTGTGCCCTGCACATTAGGAGCTAGATTAAAGGACTTTTAGACTCTACATTGCGACCGATTTTACTGTGGAATTAGATATTTCAAATCCTATTTCCTTGGGTGTGAATCGTGTTGCCTCATGGGTTTTGCCTTAATTTTTATGTCTATAAGTCAGATGGCTTGTGTTTCCATCTGTTCAATTAAAATATGATGTTTACTTTTACAATTACAAAGACTGTATTTGGCAAGCATATATACCATCATAACTTGATGCAAAACTGTTACAAAAGGAAGTGGGGAGAATTATTCAGTAGGTATGTCAAAGCATATAGCTTAACAAAAGATGCTAGTGCTATGAGACTAAAAAATCAGAGCCACACTGCCTTAAATGAACTAGTTCATAGAGAAGTTTATTTCATACTGTTTTTAATGCCTGAACTTCCAACATCGTTCTCCTTTTAAATCTCTGTATTTTTCTTTACTGTTTTTCAGAAATTGTTCTGCATATATGGTTGCATTGATGGGTTTTGATCACATTGATTCTAGGTTAACTACTCAAAAAGTGAGGAAAAATAATTCATCTAACAGCATCATGATGGCAGGAAGTAAGGATGCCTGCAGCTGGTTCCAAGGGTGAACCTCGTAACCCTAGAGAGTTGAAAGATGATACCAATTCTTCTCGTGAAGAAAAGAAGGTAAATTATTATTTCATGTTACTAATTGCATTCATGTCAGTATAATTTGAACATTTAAAGGTATTATTGATCTTCTTCTTTTTGTCCTTAAAAAACTGATATGATTTAAGGATTTATTTTAAACTTTGCAGATTGTGATGCGTGCCCTATCCAGTACACCATTCAGAAATTACAATGTTTGGTGGTCTCTTTCAGATTCGAAATATGCTGGGACTGCATTGTTAATAAAAAATTGTTTCCAACCAAAAAGGGTTTCATTCTCTCTTGATCAATCAGGTATGTTAGTTCCATGTGAAAACATTTTACTGCTGCATTTTTGTGATTTTACATGGTATTCACTGTATGTCCTAACACGGACTGATAATTGACTTTCCTTTTTGAGGATGCAAATGAATAACAAACCAGCCTAACTGATCAAGGTGCAGGTCATGGAAAAAATTCCAAATCGCCTTCTTCTGTTTCCTTAGAGCTGAAACTCAATTGTCGGTTGTGTTAGATTTCAATTGCAATCTGAAAAATATATGATTCAAGATCTGCATGCACAGAATGGCAGAATGAGCTTCATGCCATTGGACCCATCTATGATGAGCTCTGCACTGCAGTTGTTGCTGTTGCAGATCTTATTGAATGTATTTCAGATTTAGTGGTGCAAAATATTTGTTCCTCTGTACTGACTGTTGTGGCTAGTTTCATGCATGGAGAAACCTTGTAAATATTGTTTGCACTTGGATTTTGTTCCAGTGTACATAGGGCTGTAATGGGTCTTTTCGTGTCGTTTCATGTCAAAATTTGTTCAACTCATGCTTGACCCGTTTACAATCGTTTATAGACGGGTTTGTGTTGGGTCCTTCAGTCGAATGTATGCGCTGTGTTTTGCCTAGTTCGTGATAACCCATTCACTTGATGTGTTTGACGGGTTCACCCTAACCCACTACCACTAAATTTAAACTCATTGACTCCCTGTCGATTTTGTGTGGGTTGTGTGGGTCATGGGTAGAGTTGTCACCTGGCCTAATTGTACTCTTATTATAATATTTTATTCCAGTAAATGTATAACTAGATCAATTAATTCATAAACATGCCTTTGTCCTTAGCTTCGAAACATGAACAAGATGGTCGGGTCATTTTGGCTGAATTTGAGTCATTGCGCCTGTTGAATACATATGTGCCTAACAATGGTTGGAAAGAGGAGGAGAACTCATTTCAGAGGAGACGAAAATGGGACAAAAGGATGCTAGAATTTGTTCTGCAAAATTCAGATAAACCTCTTGTTTGGTGTGGTGATCTTAATGTAAGGTACCATCTTTTACCTGACATTGCTCTTTATTCTTCTGACCTCTTGCAAGTGATTGTGTTTTTTCCCTGCCTTCCCTTTTTACACTGGGGTTTTCTTCTGGTTTGCTTGTTTTGGGGGGAGGGGGTGGGGTTTATTCAGATGCTATCAAAATACCATTCGCAAATGTTGCTGAACAATTTTTGCTGTATATTTCTTGTTTTCAACTTAAATTTCAAGTGCGTGCTTTCAGTGAGTTAGGGGAAGCTAAAATTAATTTGACTGATGACTAGCTTTTAGAAAAGTGTCTTTGTCCTAATTTTTGTAAAAAATGCCATCCTTCCCTATTGAGTTATATTTTAGAAATTTAACATGGTATTTTCTTCTGGTGAGTATTTCTGAGGATTTTTTAGCAGTTTTTTTTTTCATACTTAAATCATTACCTTAGTGGCAACTAGTTGAGATATTGAAGGGTCTGCCTCCACTGAATGCTTGAGTTCTTCAAACTTGAGGCATTTAAAGGTTGGCTACGAATTGAAGTTTGTGTACTATGTAAATGTGGCAAACACTGTTTTGCTGGCTAGACATTGTTATGTATCATACTTTGCTTTAATACTCTGCATATCTTTTCCTATAGATACTAACTACCTGCCTTTCAAAAGAGGATCTTGTACATCATGGATAAATTTGTTGACCTGAAAATCAGTAATGTTGCACTTCATTTAATTCTAAGTGAAAATAAGTTCTCTTTCACTTGATGCGATTCTAAGTAACTCAACCATGAAGACCTGTTTTCCTGACTTACAAAAGCAAAATGTGTCTCCATATGAATGTGTGTTGTTTTTGCAAGTTAACTGTTACCAGTTATCACCTTTGGGTGGATAGTCTTATTGTGGTAATGTTGCTTTCTTTTTATGTCTTCTGCAGTCATGAAGAGATTGATGTGAGTCATGCAGAGTTTTTCAGCATGGCGAAGCTCAATGGTTACATTCCACCGAATAAAGAGGTAATAATTTTTCTTTAATTGCTTGTCTGAGTGCAGTTTGATCAATGTCTTGTGCACTCTGATGAAGGCATGAATGAGCTTCTTTTGTTTAATAGTTTATATTGATTCTTGCTAAATTGCTAGACATGTCCAAAGTTGGAACACGAGGGAGAAGGACATTTACATTATTTGTTGGGGACAGTTTTGTGCCCCACTGAATTCAAATGGCTCCATTGTCATTTAAACAGCATTTGAAGGCGAAAATACTAGAAGGATGTTGGAGACAACACTTAAAATATACATGACTTCATCGTATGCTGCAATCTCCAATTTTCAATCATCTGCATTGTTGGCTGGCATGTTTGGTGGTGTCCTACTTTTACACGTGACGATGGATTTCTATGGAAACTTATGCATCAAGTGCAATGTAGCAATTCACATAACTTGAATGACTTTGATTACTTGCTCATGCAGGACTGTGGGCAGCCTGGATTTACCTTGTCTGAGAGGAAGCGTTTTGGTACCATATTAAGAGAGTGAGTAAACCCTTTTAGTACTTGTGTCTGTTGCTTCTAGATTTTAAACCATGTGGTGGTACTGTGAGCTGATGGTTTCTCATAATACTAAGGTCAACCGGAACATATTGTCTAAATTTTTTTTTCCCATTGAAAAATAAATTGTTTCGTACCTGAATAACTTTATATTTTTCTCACAGTTTATAAATTGAAAGAAGCAGAAAATTAACTGCATCTTAGGTTTATTAGAGTTTGAATTTGCAGTTAACGTGTTACCTATTAATCATCATTGGATAGAAAACTTAGCCTTTGGGATACCTGAAGCTTGTCTTACGACCTTTTTATTTCTGACTCCATCATCATAGACTTATGATTGCCATAAGTGAATTGATGGTCTCTATGGTCTTGAAGTGGGGAGCAGTGGAGTGAGGTTCTGGTGCCGGAGTATCACAAGTTTTCTACAAAAGATATGCCTGCTTGTATTCTTTTCCTTTTTATGGAAATTATTATGTCATGTTAGATTCTTTGTAAACCATACAGGGGAAAGGAGGCCTGCAATCAAAGGTTTTACCTAAAAACAGAGGTCCGTATTAAGTTTATCAGACTTTAGCAAGAGGATGCTTAGTGAATATTTGATTGTGCTAGTGTTCTCTAATCATTTTCTGGACTAGTTTCTCTAATATATGATGGAGCCTATATATATGTATACTCAAGAACATTCTCAGTGCTCTTTATGTTTTCAAACTTGAACTTGATTATGGAATTGAAGTTCTGAACTTGATTGTTCCAACTACTATGGCCTATGCTTCAGGGGAAAGCTAGTAGATGCATATAGATTCCTACATAAGGACAAAGACTTGGAGCATGGTTTCTCGTGGTCGGGACACCCAGTTGGAAAGTAAGCATGATTGTTTTTGTGCTATCTTATCTTGGCAAAGTTGATTGCAAAACTAACTCTATACCATCATCATTTGGTTTATCTTATAATATCATTTTTGGCATGGCACAACAGAGTGCAAAATTGATGTCATCATCTGCGTGTTAAAATTTTGTGTATCCATTGATATTTTACTGGCGGATGATTAGATTGGACAACTTTTTTGCAGGTATCGTGGAAAAAGGATGAGAATAGACTATTTCATTGTCTCAGAGAAACTTAGTGATAGGATTGTCACATGCGAGATGCATGGGAAGGGAATTGAATTACAAGGTAATAGTGATTTCATATATAGAAATATACATGGCCTAAGGTCTTTCAATATTGTTATTAATTGACTAAACAACTCATGGCAAAAATCAACTCATTATCATGTAATAAGCTAAATACAATAGAATCTTCAAGTGAACATTTGGATGTAATGGCAGTCTCATCCTTGCATTATGCCCCCTTACACTGCAATCATAAACCTGCTAATAACAATGGGATTCCTTAATCATTGTCCTCTCTCTTTGATCCACCATTACTCAAGATTTGTGACATTTGGATTATCATTATTAACTCTACAATTAGATTTTCTGGCACCAATTACTTTATTTACCTTAGTATAGTGCTATGTGGGGTGCATTTCTGTGTCTTCATGATGTTGAAATCTTGTCCATTCATTTCCACGGATTGTATTCGATGAACATTCTCGCATTCCTAATATTCAGTACAAATTTGTTTTTGTGCTGAACTGGGTGGAATTTTGGATTTTATAGATATGCCAAATCACATATTTAATGTCAAATGTTGGGATGGATCCAGCGATCTTTTGGTAGGAACTTCAGGACCAGTTGCTAGCTGTATACTTACCACCAAATTAGATAACATATTATGCTTTATGTAGTACCATAAGTGCTCTGTTCCTTTATTTTCTTCCTGATTTCAACTGTAGTCATCTAAACTGATCTGTCTGGAAGGGGAAAAACATCATCCAACATCGTCGTTAACTGTTTGCAGGTTTCTATGGGAGTGACCACTGCCCAGTATCCCTTGAACTTTCTGACACAAGCCCTGATTCCAACCTGCAGAGCTAAGTTTTTTGTCTAACATTCGATGACAAAACCTATTGCAATGATGTACTGGTTATCTTTTCACAAAGATTAACTTCGTGGATGGATTGAATAGAATCATTTTAGGTTATTTCTGCTGTGTGGTTTTGTCAATGTGATCTAACTGGAGATACATATGCATCCATCTATGGTGGAGTGGAGTTTTTTCTGGTGTAATGGTTTCAGTGGGCTAGTGTTTTTCATTAGCTAAGCATTTCTTTTGACCCCCCTCCTCTCCCTCCCTAAGTCACCTATGCAAAGCCCAACTACTAACCCTCTTTTTCCGGTTTACACTTACAAACGGTTTGTTCAAAATATTAGTCTAGACCATTTATTATGCATATTTAATAATCGTATTAATTTTACAATTGTGTCGTGTCGAGTTCGAATTACCTTGTTAGACTTCACACCTCTATATAATCCCATTTTTTATCATGTGCATGGATGAGAGATTAATGTAAGATATTAAATCCAAGGACGGGTACACTACACGAGCAAGGGGGGCCATGGGCCGTGATCTTTTGAAAAATATATTTTAACCCCTTAAGTTTTTAAAAAATTCTATGCATTCCATTAGATTTCTAAAAACCTCTCTGGGATATTTTTCCTATTATGTTCAAAAAAAAATTAATGGTTTGACATGTAATAACAAAATGAGGATGTGATCATATAGATGATCAGTCAGCCTCTTACAAACAAAAGTACTTGTTTTGATGAGTTTGATGGCCAACAGAAAAAAAAAAAAAAAAAAAAGAGAAAGATTAAATCAGTGTAAAAAAGAGTTAGAAATGTGAATTATATCTAATAATGGTGTTAGCTGACCAAAAAATAAAATCGATTTTTAATAACATTATAATATATTGCAAATATGGGGATACGCTACTATGGTGATACGGAAAAAGTAAAATTTACAACCTAAAATTTAAATTGAATTTCAAAATTTCAATTTGTTAAAATTTAAAACGGAGTTTCAAAATTTTGTTCCAAAAATCAAGCATCAAATTTTATGATGGTAAGTATAAAATAAATTTTTTTTTTCAAAATAATTTTTTTCAAGAGTATTATACAAATGTTGATCTTGATACATTCTCCACATTATAAGTTTATCTATAAAAATTATTAACTGACAATATTTGATCTCTATCAGAATAAAATTCTGGTTCCGTCCCTACTTAAAGCAAGGCATGACTCTCTAGCCTATGCGAATTATTTTGGTTATTTTAGATATTAATATCCATCACTTCTTATTCAACACCACCTGAAATATGGTATTGATTTATGAGGTTAGATTACATTGGTTGTAGTATTGAATTAGTATAAAATAAATAAAGTTCTTAAATTCGGGTCCCATAAAATAAGTCAAATTAGGTATCAAATGACAATTACTAAATAAAGTCGGCTACATTATATATGACTGTTTTTGAGTTGAATGATTCTAACATGATAATATGCAGCAGGTACAATACAAACAATGAAATAACACATGAGTCATACAGTACTACGATAATGTAGCAAAACTCTACAGTAAGGAAATTTTTTTTTGGGTATCGATACTATCGATTATTATTTTGAATGATAAAAGGATAAATTATAATTAATGAAGATCATGATCGATTACAGACACCTATGATCGATCATAAAAAAATGTGATATCGATCTCAACATTTTATTATCGATCATACCCTTTGAAATTGTAACTTATACCTCAAAAAAATTATAATTTCCGAAGCCGATTCCATCGGCGTAAAACTTCCCGATAATGTATGCCGAACAGTAGTAATTATTTAGTTGAGTTGTTTGAGGTTTATATTGTATTTCTATGTTGTTGTTTTTTTTTTTTTTTTGATCAAACACACACAAATAACACTCACACTATGTTGTTTAATTATGAGATCATGATGGGTTTAGGCTTTCTCTTCAATTTCAAAATAACTTAGGGATAGTACAATTGTTTTGTATGATGATGAGTTATCCACGATACTAAATCCCGTATATCTTAAATTTTTCAATATTCTAAATACTCATTTGAATTTAAAATTTATTGACGTGAATAGATCTTTACCATGTAAAAAGAATCGAAAGATCCTCTAATTATTTTGCAATTGGAGATGAGCCAAACCCGATCGTGTATGGAGGTGGTCCTTTCCTCACATTAATTGTATTTTATATAACATACGCAGTGTGAGTATATAATAAATGTATTACCCATTGCTCTCTAGGCTGGTGGCCTCAGCATATGTGTTATATAATAAAAAAAATACTAATAATTCATTAAAGTGGTAAAATAATACATATTTTAATATCATAGTTCTTGACTTTTGCTGGTTTAAAGCAACAAACGCTAAGCATCGAACATGTAGAGAAGAAAAATAAATGGGGAGACGGCAGAGGCTCATTGTAGCTTTGTAGCCAAGCAGACAAATGGTTATATGTATATGTCAATTGGGATGAAACACATCTCACTTGGTTGGGACACTCTTTGGTAAATTCAGTACATTTCGTTATTATGGTAATGTAATGGAATTTTTTTTTTTTTTTTGTGATTCAACTGTTAAGGGTGTCTAGAACAGTTTACGTGCACTTCGATTAATCATATCTTTGGTTCGGTCAAAAAAAGATAATCTACACCGAGACTAGGGTATTCATGAGAAATAAATCTCTTGTGACTAGCCAAGATTCGATTTCAATACGTATGATTTTAAATGTAGTGGATTTTGAAATATAATTTTTTATTACTATAATACGAGGTCTCAAAACACACAATCGTTTGCATTCATATATAATTCTCTACTTTATTTTATTTTTATATCCCATTTGATCTAATAGATCACTACAGTATTCTCTGTTCATGTATCAAATTAATGATGGACCTTGAGCGAAGCCTATTAGTAGTTGTCTCAAGAGATTACGTTTCATAGAATATTCAAACCTTTGATATACTGCGCATGAAAAGTTTATCTATTTTTGTGTATACGATATAATTATCTATATAAATTGCTGGAAGATGGCTCCAAGAAATTGATAAGGTCTTAAGCCTTTTAAATGGTTAAAAGAAGTGAGAAGGAATAAGCTGAGAATATAATAAAGTCCAAAATTTGAAGAGACAAAAATCTTGTATATAAAGAAAAAGATAACAAAATTATGACTTTAGACACCCAAAAGGTAGGGTCTTTTTGTTATTTGCAACCACACAACAGCCAACCACTTGGTTGCATGTCATCATCGTAGAGTTCTTACTCCTATTAACATTTCGTGCTTCTCAAATTTATTTACTAAATGTTACATATTAAATATTGTGGTAAAATCGTATGTATTAAATGTTTAATGAAAGTTAATGGACTTTTGCCAATTCAATCATCTATATTGATTTGGTATATAAAATTTGATAAGTATAACGTTACTAGAGCTTGTTTAGATGAATTTTTGGAGATGGTTTGTATTGACTTCTCCAAATTCTTCTAAATTCAAATCACTCTTTACAAAGATGAGATTCAACATTAAATTTAGTCTATACTTATGTTTAGTATACATACACATGTAATACCCACGAATATATCAAATTATTAACGACTATTTATCCTGTAAATGATTATTTTACTTTTGATAAATTTAATTCATACATATGTTAAAAGATACAATTGTATTTTAGATTTTTAATCTATCTTTCCAAACCCACCATCCCTTAGATTTGACGAAATTCATGATCATAAGTTTAATATTCGTGTCAGTTGTGAACAGAATTTGAGAATTCAAGATTAAATTTTTTATCCAAATAAAAAATTTGTAGATCTTTTAAACTATTTGTTACGCTTTTTCTAATTTGTGGACTTCTATTGACCAATAAGTCCAAGTGTCCTTCAAAAACGACCAAACCGGGGTACCACTGAAACACATAAATCAAATTGCAACATCAGAATACGTCAGAAATGTAGGGTGATATATAGAAATAGATAAAAATTCAGGGATACCATTGCAAAAACATAACTCACGCACACCCATTACTCCAGACCACAAAAAGCCAAAAACTTCAGTGGCAAAACCGTAAATAAATTCAACATCACTGTCTTTTGCACAATTTCTCTCCCAAACCCAGAATAAAACCCACCCACATCACCGCTCTCTCTCTCTCCTCTGCTCGTTTCACCATTTCCTCTCCCCTGTATCGACAGTCTCCTCCCAAAAAAAAAAAAAAAACAGAGCAATGAAATACAAAATTCCAAAAATGAGAATATAGAGAGAGATTGAGAGAATAGAGAATCTCAACAGCTCCTTCTCTCTCCTCTCCGTCTCTCTCTTCATCACAGACTCACAATGCTCCCCCATTAAACCTCACAGATCTTACACGCACATGTATTATAGATACGTATATGTGTGTGTATGTAGAGAGAGAGAGACAGAGAGACCCATTAGTTAATGGCTTCTGCTGCAGAGCAACCGAGTAATATTGAGGTGTTCTCGTGGCTGAAAAACCTACCTGTTGCACCAGAATACCAACCAACCCTAGCTGAGTTTGAAGATCCAATTGGGTTCATTTTCAAGATCGAAAACGAAGCCTCCAAGTATGGAATCTGCAAAATCGTACCCCCTGTGCCGGCCTCGCCAAAGAAAACTGCAATTGCCAACCTCAACAAGTCCCTCGCGGCCCGTTCATCGAATCCCAACTCCAAGTCAGCCCCTACATTCACTACTCGGCAGCAGCAGATCGGGTTTTGCCCGAGAAAACACCGGCCAGTGCAAAAACCAGTGTGGCAAAGTGGTGAAACCTATACCTTACCCGATTTTGAAGCCAAGGCGAAGAGCTTTGAGAGGAATTACTTGAAGAAAGCTGCCAAAAAGGCGTTATCAGCTTTGGAAATCGAAACCCTTTATTGGAAGGCGACTGTGGATAAACCCTTTTCGGTGGAGTATGCGAATGATATGCCAGGCTCTGCATTTATGCCGCTGAGTGAGAAGAAGGGTAGAGAAACAGGGGAGGCAGTGACTGTGGGTGAGACAGCATGGAATATGAGAGGAGTGTCAAGGGAGAAAGGGTCTTTGTTGAGGTTTATGAAGGAGGAGATTCCTGGGGTTACGTCGCCGATGGTGTACATTGCAATGATGTTTAGTTGGTTTGCTTGGCATGTAGAGGATCATGACTTGCACAGCTTGAATTATTTGCATACAGGGGCAGGGAAGACTTGGTATGGAGTGCCGAGGGAAGCGGCCGTTGCTTTCGAAGAGGTGATCAGAGTTCATGGGTATGGGGGAGAGATTAATCCTCTTGGTGAGTTAAGTGCTACGTTGAAGTAGAAATAGCTGACCTTAGCCTACTCTGTTTGTCCAACTCTGTTTTGTATTATGTTGTGAAATGTTCTAGTTAATGTTTGTGAGGTGTTTTGTTTGACTTTTGGTTAATTATTATCTGCTAGTTGTGCTGTATATGGACACTAATTGATTTGGGCGTAATTCTATTTGAAGGACTTTGTACCAGATGAAGTGGATGATTAGTTTTAGAGATTTCCGTGCCGTGGATTCCTAGGATGGGCTAGTTAGCATAAAAATCTTACGAACATTATGAAATTGGCCGATATTGAGTGAATGCTGTGTTGAGGTATATTCTATCTCATACACAACACTTGCAACTCAAGCTATCAGTATGGTTAATTAGAAATTCAGGTGGGGTTGGCTTTAGGAATTGCTTATATTTGTGAGGGAGATTCTTGCGGCAGTTTTTTTTATAAAGGCTTAAATGAAAGTTACAGTGGTGGCTGGAGGTTTGATGCAATTGCTGTCATGTAAGGATGCTCTGCCCCCTGTGCTTCTTTCTTTGTGTGCTAAAAAGGTTAGACTTAGAGTTAGGAGGATTAGGATTCATATTTAACAAAAAGTTAAGTAGGGTATTTGGAGGGTGTGATAGAGGGCACGGGGTACTTTGGTCCCCTCCATGTCGAAATGGTTTGTGCACTGCCATGTGATTTCTCCCCAGTAACAAGTTGCATTTGGTTTACTTATCACTTTCTTGTTTAATTTCCTGAACAAGAGGGCTTATTTTTAATTGGGTAATTTTTGTGTAACCTAGCTAGGATACCTATATGAGCACTCCCATTCTGTCATAGAGTTTTTCTATAGTTGTAGAGTTATGTCTTTGAAGAGTTCATCATATTGGAGTTTTGTGAATTTCCTTCACTTACATAGTTACTCTTCTATTTTTGAGTAATGCTTTTAATAATTTGAAGATCGTGTTCCAAATGAGTATGTTGAGGCTTATTATTTTAATGTTTTCTTTCTTTCTTTTTGTTTTTAGAAGGAGGTCTGTGGCTACTATATGTCATGTCCTAGACAGGAGTTGCTAAAGGGTGGAAAGTAGGTGGAGGCAATTACTTATGGACATTCAGTTAAGCAACATGATGTGAAGATTTTTTTTTTTTGAGACTAATATATTCCTCATTTAGCATGATACTCCACAGTACACACCCAAAAAAGAAAAGGAAAAAGAAAAAGAAAAAAGGTAACTTAGTCGACATGATGGTAGTGTGGCCATATCATATACCAGATTTTATTTTCCTCTTTATCTAGTTTTCATGTCCTTCATTGTAGGAATCTCTCTCTCTCTCACACACACATACACACACACACACACACAACCAAACAAACAATCACATGCACCTGTAATATAAGTATGTAATATGTATATGATCTAGTACATATATTTATGTTTGTGGGGTGTGTGTGTGCGGAGGTGTGATTGCAAATTCTAGCTGGTCTGATTTGGTATGTGTTGTGGCACATTAATCAAATCAATGGTATCTATCTTTTGGGAATCTATTATTCCCCAAAAACCTTCTTGTTTGAGGAACCATTTAATGTCAGTTTTTGGATTTTCACATTCATGATGTGTAACCAGTCCCATTGATCGTGCGCAAAACTTGTGCAATTGTGATTTATGGCCAAGAAAATAATGAAGTCAGAGGGTTTTGAATCTCTATTAAAATTTCTTTTATGCTGTTAATTTCTGACATGCCCTTTAGTACGGTTTCTCCCTTATTTTTGTTGCTTCATAGGTGTTTTAGAGCATCTTGTTTTGTTTAGTTGATATGAACTAGATTTTTGAAATTGTGTCTTTCATATCCAATTTTACGTTAGTAAACTCAATACTGAAGCCTTGCGGTCTATGACTAACAAATTCTAAAGTCTTCCACTGGACTCTTTTTTATGCTGTTAATTTCTGATGTGCCCTTTTAAGTAATGCTTAATTTAGTTTGGTTGCTGTAGAGGTGGTTTGATTATCTCGTCTTGTTTTCTTCATATTGAAGTATGTTTTGTCATTGTGTTTCATTTTGAGTTTTTTCTGGACTTCCAGATGTTAGCTGCAATGATAACTCTTGCTGTCCCGAGGGGAGTTCCATTGTTTAAGTCCCTGATTAAGCCATGGGTGTGTTTGTAGTGCTTATCCAAAACAAGAAAGGGCAACCTAACAAAACTTTGTGTTGATTTTCTTTCAGTGACTTTTGCTACTCTTGGTGAGAAGATCACAGTGATGTCACCAGAAGTTCTTCTTAGTGCTGGGGTTCCATGCTGCAGGTGAAATTTTGATTCGTGTGTTTCATTTTGCTCTCTAAACTATTTTTACTATTATTTCCTTGCTTGTCATGCTCCAGAGAGAGGGTGGGGGGTTCTACTTGTAGATTGGGACACCGGTGTCTAGGTAGTAGTTCATGCAAAAAGAAATTGTTTCTATGGTAGGCTTAGAGATCATTGTCAGGTACAACCTTCTTCTCCGAAAGAGTTAAAAAAGAAGCAGGTCCAAGTGAAGCAATTGGACAATGTGAAGATGCTAAATCATGACTGTGTTTTGAAGTTTCTCCCACCACAAGAAAATTTTTTAGTTTCATTTCTAGAAATCATGATTGTTAGCATTTATGCTCTCTGTGTACCTTTAATATCTGCATAATCGCAAATATTCATCTGAATCTTATATGTTTAGTTTACCTTTCATTTTCTCGGAATCAGGTTGGTGCAAAATCCTGGTGAATTTGTTGTCACATTTCCAAGAGCCTATCACTCAGGTTTTAGTCATGGTAAAGTCATCTTTTCTGTTACTTTTTTTTTTTGGGGGGCCATTTTTTCTGCTGTCAGGATCTTTTGCTGTTATTGATTTCCAATAATATGTCTGAAATGATCTTTGCACTTTGCAGTATATCATGTGTTTGATTGTGCCGTGTAGGATTTAATTGTGGTGAGGCAGCTAATATTGCCACCCCTGAATGGTTGAGGGTTGCAAAAGATGCTGCTATCCGTAGGGCTTCAATCAACTGTCCTCCCATGGTGTCCCACTTCCAGTTGCTTTATGATCTTGCACTTTCATTATGTGCCAGGTTTGTTTTCTTGCCATAGTAAATTTCCTTCGATTGGCGTTATGATTCCCTCCAAATTTCTTATGTCTAGACTTCCAGTTCATTATTTCTTCTCAAAGTACTCTAGTTTGAACCACAAAAGCAAGAACGGAGTTTTTTTTCCGAACTACTATCTAAAATGCTGTATGATGAGTATGAGATTCAACCAGTATGTATACATATGGTTTCTGTATATACTAATTGAAGAAATTGATTGAGAAGCATGTTATGCGAACCCATATTTTGTTATTGTTTGGCTGTTAGTTATGTTGTTTGCTCTTTTTGATTACTTTTGGTTCTTTTGTTTTTGTAAACTCACTTTTCGTAAGTTTAAGTTGTTTCATCGTTTTCACGTGCAGTAAGTATTACTCGATAAATTTATTTGAAATGCAGACATTTATGCCCCAACTATGCAATAACTGGAATTACTGTATGGATAAGATAACCTTATTGGTCAATCTATAAGTTTTACTTAATTTTTTCAATTTTCCCCAAGTACAGGGTACCGAAGAGCATCAGTAAGGAACCTCGGAGTTCTCGACTAAAGGATAAGAAGAAGGGTGAGGCAGACAACTTGGTTAAGAAGCAATTTGTTCAGGATCTGATGCAGAACAATAACCTGCTGCATATTCTTGGGAAAGGATCGTCAGTTGTGCTTCTTCCCCGATACTTTGTAGACAATTCTGCTTGCTCAAACTTGCGTGTTGGATCTCAGTTAAAAGTAAAACCCAGGTTTTCCCTTGGTTTGTACAGTCCAAATGATGAATCAAAGGACGCAGAAAGTTTGCTTTCTGATGATATTGTGCTAGACAGGAAACAGGGGGCGAAGCATTTGACAGGTTTATATTCGTTGAAGGAAAACTTTTCTTCTTTTTATGATAGGAGCAGGCCTCCCTTGTTGGGCAGAAGTAATGATGTATCATGTTCTTTAGCTTCTTATACTCAGAACTTGGATCATGAAAGAACTGCTCGCTGTGATAGGTTGTCAGACCAGGGACTTTTTTCATGCGTGACTTGTGGGATTTTGTGTTTTGCTTGTGTGGCTATAGTTCAACCGAGCGAGGCCTCTGCATGTTATCTAATGTCAGCTGATTGCAGCATTTTTAATAATTGGGCAGCAAGTAGTGACGGCTTGACTGCTGTCGATGGGGATGCAAATTCTTCAGTGCTGAATTCCTCTTCAGGTTTCTTTGGTTCTGTAATTTTTTGTCTGTTGTTATTTGCATTCAATCAGGAATATCATGGTCCGTGTTAGATTTCTTGTTCTTTTTGATCCGTAAACAATATTGTTCCATCAGTATGATGGGATAGGGCCATGCATTCGTTACACACTCTCTCTCTCTCTTGTGCTCGACCTTGAGGGTTTTAGATTTACTTGCACGACTTGGATAGCCAGTGTAGAAATTATTTTATTTTCATACTTTCTTATAGTTGGCGTGACTAATTAAACCAATAGAGGCCTGGTATGGTTTAATGAAAAATGTCAGTGGACAATGACTTCATGCATCTTATGACTCTGGTATGACGAATCAGGTGTCGAGATCAAGCACTAGTATTCTTTATTTTGAAACAGGGTGATGGAACATTTGCATTTTGCATGCATGTGTATTCCGACATAAGAACTGAAGTTTTTTTTATTCATTCAATTGCAGGATGTATGTTCAAAAGTACTCGAGATGGTTTATTTGAAGTCCCAATACAATCTGCTGACAAAATTCAGACAGTGGGTGAAAGCATGGGGGTGGTTTCAAATACGGAAGCACAACAGGATAATTCTTCCCTTGGCCTGTTGGCTTTTACTTATGGTAATTCTTCTGACTCCGAGGAAGATATGATTGAAGCAGATATTCCTGTTAATGGCAATGAACCCGAGTTGAGAGAATATTCAGCAGAAAGTAGACTTGATTGTGGTAAAACTGGATTGGCTTCCCTTGAGCGTTATAGTGGAGCAACTGGTTGTAATAATCTCCCCTTTTCACAGCTTGGTTGTAGAGATGAAGTTCCTCTCCAAATTATCGATCCTCATGGAGAGCATGTGCACGCAGGAGCTAGTTTCAAGGATAGAACCAATCAAAGTTTTGGCTGTCCTGTTGAATTCGAAATGGATGACATCACTTCACTGGAGGCAAGTAGTTTACGAGCTAGGTTTAGACATCAAATGAAACTATCGCCTATTGCCTCGAGTTGCTCCCCAGTCGCCCATAAGGCTGAAACATCAATTAATAGTGCCAAAGTCCCAATCGATAACACGATAATGTCATGTGCTCCAAGATCCGACCAAGATTCTGCTAGGATGCATGTCTTCTGTCTTCAGCATGCTGTAGAAGTAGAACAGCAGCTTTGTTCAATTGGCGGAGCACATATCTTGCTCCTTTGTCATCCTGGTACGTTTTTATGTATGGGCAAATCGCTCTTAATTCGGTTTTTACCAACTTTTTCCACCCTTAGATTTTCTTCTCTCTATGAAATCTTTCTTCTTTTCCATTTCCACACCTTTTTCTGAGACCTTGTTTGTGTAATTCTCCATGCAGGATAAAAAGTGAAGAAAGAATCCTTATGGAAGTTTACTGTAGTGAATATACAGCTTAAATAGTATGTAGTAATTTGTATTGTCTCCTGGAAAATGTGGTGCTTTCAATAATGTGAAGAACTTGTGTTTCTACTCCTTAATATTTCTTGTATGAACAGATGAATGCATATATAGGAGATAATGTTATTAAAATAATCATTTGTGTGTTTGAGAGGCTAATTATCTTTACATTAATATGATTCATTTCACCTATCATCTGCTATGGATTTGCTACACTTGTACACGAATATTTTTTAATTAGTTGTCACCCTTTTTTCGAACTGACACCATGTGTCATTGATAATAAAGTAGTTTTTTTTTTAATTCTGTTTTTCTCCGGCTCTGGAAGAAGATTTTACCGCATAAAAGAACAAAGCAAAAATAGGGTAATGCATAATCAATGTACGTTAGTAATCCATTCACCCTATTTGGTCTCCCTTTTTCTAGTTTTTCTTTTCAAGCTGCCTGTTGGTTTTAGGCTGGTTTCTTGCATCTTTTAAATTCCAAATAGTTGTCATAGTAAGTTACTTTCCTTTGATCATTCATGAATTTTGTTGGAAATTTTGCAGACTATCCCAAGCTAGAGGCAAAAGCAAAATTAGTGGCAGAAGAACTAGGGACCAATCATCTATGGAGTGATATTGCATTTAGGGAGGCCACCGAAGAAGATGATGAGAGCATACAATCGGCTTTAGATAGTGAGGCAGCCGTACATGGGAATGGGGACTGGGCTGTCAAGCTAGGCATCAATCTCTACTACAGTGCAAACCTTAGCTGCTCTCCTCTCTACAGTAAGCAAATGCCATATAACTCTGTTATATACAGTGCCTTTGGTCGCAGTTCTCAAGTTGACATCTCAATGAAACCTGAGTTCTGCGGGAAGGGGTCTGGCAAGCACAAAAAGATAGTTGTTGCCGGGAAATGGTGTGGGAAGGTCTGGATGTCAAATCAGGTTCATCCTTTGCTAGCAGAAAGGGATGATGAAGATCAAGAGCAGGAAAGAAGCATTCCAGCTCGCGCAAAGCCTGATATGAAGCTTGAGAGAATAACAGAAACTACCCACATAGCTGAAACAGCCTCTGCAACTAGCAAGATTGGAAGGAACAGGAAGAATAGAGTAGAAAGTAGGTCAATCATGAAAATTAAAGTACAAAAAGACGAAGATCCTGATCAATCTTCAGATGAGACACCAGAGGATAGTTCTCATCAGCAACACAAGAAGAATCTTCGAAACAAGAGAATGAAAACGGATACTACTCAGCCTAGGAGTAACAGTGGGGAAAACACCAGGTTAATGGACACATACGACGAGGATGAGCTGGAAGGTGGACCTAGCAGACGCCTAAGGAAAAGACTTCCCAAACCAACTAAAGAGTTGGGTGTTAAACGTGTGGGATCCAAACCAGTTGACGCCAAACCAGTCTTGAAGCAACAGCTTGGCCTTAAGAAAGGAAAGAAGGCTCCAGCCATAAAAGTTCTGGCAGGCACTAATGGCAAGAGGATGAGGGATGTGGAAGCAGAGTACCCTTGTGACATGGAGGGGTGTACAATGAGTTTTGGCTCGAAACAAGAGCTTGTACTTCATAAACGAAACATCTGTCCAGTCAAGGGGTGCGGGAAGAAGTTCTTCTCACACAAGTATCTGGTGCAGCACCGACGTGTTCACATGGACGACCGCCCCCTGAAATGCCCCTGGAAGGGCTGCAAGATGACATTCAAGTGGGCATGGGCTAGGACTGAGCACATTAGAGTTCATACAGGTGCTCGTCCTTATGTTTGCACCGAGGCTGGTTGTGGCCAAACATTTCGCTTTGTCTCAGATTTCAGTCGTCACAAGCGGAAAACAGGTCACTCGCCAAAGAAAGGCAGGGGGTAATTCGAAAGTGAGGATGCAATTTAACATGGCTGTTGTTCAATTGACAGAGGTAGGGGTAGGCCTTAGGGATAGAACTGAACTGAACTTTGTAATTTTTCTTCACAGTACAGTTAATTCTGTTTTGGCCTGGGAAGTCATTGGGCCCATTCATTTACCTCAACCAGATCTTGAAACAGGATTGTATTCTAATTGGAAGATGAAATTCAGAATTTTCTGTTGAATTGGGAATGAATGTGACTGAATTTTCAGGTTGCTTTTGTACCTTTGTGACAGTAAGAACATAACAAGTTTAGTGTTCTTCACTTTATATGTATCAACTTTAATGTTTTGGTGGGTGTGTGTTGATCATTAGCTCGTGGGTCACTAAAGATGTCATCAAATCTGTGGATTTCATATCAGCTCTATACCAAGCAAACCCCAAAAGATCATTAAGGTATGGTTTGGCTAATTGCCCCATGAAAGCACGGCATTGGAAACACTAGTATTCCCCCCCCCCCCCCCCCCTTTTGGCTTCGGAAAACACTCAAGATTTTTTAGAGAGATTGCAATCAAGGGGGAGGGTTACACAATCTTAAGAGGCGCAAATTCATATTTAGGATCCAGTTATAAGTAAGAGTGTCTTTACCGGTTACCACTAGGTCGGCTCCTTAATTTTACACAAACTTGGGACAATACAAAAAAAAAAAAAAAAAAGTGATACCAGATGGTTCGAACTTGGTTGGGCTATCCACATCGAATAGCTTCGGGTGTGTGTGTATTTGTAAGTCTCCACCTTATCTTTATTTTGTTAGAATAAGTAGTTAGGTGTAAATCAAAAAAATTAAATCCTCTTCAAAAGGGGCATTAGGTGTTGGGTTGGAATTTCACATTTTGGGCCGTTAAGCCATGTGGTCATGGTAATTACGCCATAGGAATTACACCGGTATGTTGGGGGACTGGGCTATAACTTCGGGTGCTTTTTTTTTTTTTTGAAAGCAAGATAAAATAATATGCCCACAAAGTGAATAAAAAAGTTTTAATGCTTGGTTAAGAAATTATACCCATAGTTTAAAGTGGAAATTTTCAGGATAAATTGGTGCAAATTATATATTTTTCATTGTTTTTTTATTTTTGGTCAAGAATAAAGGGAGGGCAGTAAATTCGCAATACGCTACCATGAAGGTCTCCACCGTGAAATACTTTATTTAAATCATAACTATTAATTCAAAAAATTAATTTGTTACCATAACAGCACTAAAAATAAATAATAAATCGTATTATTTTCATGAATCAAACCACGAAAACAGACAAATATTCTCTCCCCCTGTGGTTGTACCCCTCTCTCTCTCCCTTACACTCTATCTCCCTCTCCAGAAATTGAAATGTGGAACAAATATGGAGGCCTCTGAAGAACCTACACATCACGCCATTCCCAATCCCCGACCTACCATTGGAGATGAAGAGCCCAAATCTGAAAAACAAGAACAACAAAACGAAGAGCTAGGGTTAGGGTTAGGGTCTGAATTGGCGTCGTCTTCTGATCTCAATCCCAATCGCGACCCTAATCGTAGTCCTGCTATCATCGATAATAAGCTTAACCAAATCGTCGCTACTGAACAGCTTCACAACCTTGTTCTGAATGAGACTGTCAATGAGGAGGCTCACGATCTAGCTTGGGAAAGGACCGCAGATGAAGATAGAGAATTGGAACAGGCCATCATCAGAGAAGAAGGTGGGGAAAATGTAAGTAAACATGAGGATCAGAGTTCAGGTTTGGAAGAAAGTGAAGTAAATAACGAGAAACATTCAGATCACAACGAGGAAGCTCAGAGCGATAGTGAGAATGAGGATTGGAATGCCCAAAATGAGGACCTTAAGGACGAAGATTGCACCAAGAACCATAAAGACAATATGAGTGAGAATCAGGAGAGGGAGGAGGAGGAAGAGGACAATGATGGTGTGAATGAGAACGAAGGGGATGGGGATGATGGTGGGGCAACGTTTATGCCGGTGTCCAATGATGGGACATACAACAGGAGACTCAGGAGGTACCATCATCCACTGCGACCTGATGCCATGGAGTGTGCATATTATATGAAGACTGGGACCTGTAAGTTTGGATCCAATTGCAAGTTCAATCACCCTCCTAGCCGGAAAAACCAGGTATCGATTTTAATGGATTTGATTTATTTCTAATTCAGTTGAATTTGGTAGAGATTGCAAGTTTCCTGTGTGGGAATAGGGCGTTTGTAGATGTTGCTAGAAATGATTGGTTTATGTGATGATTTTTTACGCAAAGAATGATGGGCTTGTAGGTGTATTTTAGCATTATTTTTTCTGATTTTGTTGGGTTTTTTTTTTCAGTCTGGAGATTGCTTCCCGTGGTGTATTATGTCCATTTTTTAATTGTTTCATCATTCATTTTTTCGATAAGAATTGTTTCATCATTCATGGTGTTTTGACTATATAATTTTCTGCAGGGTGCTAAGGAGAAGGTCAAGCAAAACGAAGAAAGCCCAGAAAGGCCAAGGCAGACTGAATGCAAGGTTATAATCATCATCAACCTTATGATTACCCTTATATGATGACTGTATCTGTGCCTAAACATGTATTCATTAGTTTTTCACCTGTGAACTGGACCGGTGGACCCTTAAGTATATGATCTTATAACTGGTTGGTAATGTCTCTATTAATATCATCAACAATTTTTTTTGAGCCGAATCCAAACAATTTATTTCCTTTTTTTTTTTTTTCCTGTTGTTGGCTCTAAAATTATTTTGTTTACTCATGAAAAAAATTACTGACTTTAGGTATTTGAGATTTGAGTTTTTAGATCTAAGAACAGAGTAACTGTAGAAAGAATCTCCACAAAGCACCAAATTACTCAATTTTCAAGTAATGCCTTCCTGTGACACTGAGTTATGCTTCTGAGAGGATTTAACCTTACATTGAGGCCATGCTGCAAATATGACTGAGTGAAGTTTTATCTATTAAAATCAACTCAAACCACTGCATCATGCATCGTGGGTTTGCTTTGATCCTGTTTTCTTTTTTGAAGATTCTTGCTTAATGTAATTTAAAATGCAGATAACTACTGTTGCATTTTAATGGTTTTTTACTGAAAGAAAATTTTTATTTTAACTTGAGTGCTTTGATACACTTGGCAATTTGGCATATACATATGTAATTTCCGATTGTGTGTGACTTTTTCTTCCAAGCCTTGACAAAAGACCCCATTTCATCCCCTTTAATTTTGGGATGAAATGATGTCCTTGACTTGGGCAGTGTTCATTGGGTGTCGTGGTGGTGGGTAGCCATATATCTCTGATCTCTAACCACTATAACAAATGAATCCTGTTACTAGGGCTTTTCTTTCTCCACTCAATCAATATCTTTTAGATCGTTCCTGTCAAAATTGTATTGGTAATGGTTGTGTTCTTCATATAGATTATTTGCTCTATTTGTCTTAAGAAAGGCAAAACCTTTGTTGCTTTGTTATATCACAATTGATTAAGTTCACTTATCAAAGAGGAATGTTGTATTCAAATGAGTCCTCTTATAGTTACTGCAGAATATATTTTGATCACATCATTATATCATAGTATAAAGTCGATTTTTCGAGATAATTTTATTAGTCATCGTAATTATAAAAGAATAACTGGCAATTTTGTCTTGGCATTTGTTTTCCCTGAAGGTTATACATTTATCCTGTAGGAAAGTGACTATTCGCTGTTAAGTCAGTAGGATTTGCATGGTATACTATTGTACTAATAGCATTTCCTCTGGTGTTCCAATTTTCCTTGAGTTGGTTGCAGTATCACCTGACACCAGGGGGATGCAAATATGGAAATTCTTGTAGATACAGTCATATTACAGGAAAAACTTCAGTAGCTCCGATTTTGGAGTTTAACTTTCTGGGCCTGCCGATCCGACTGGTATGACTCTTTTGGTTCCTGTGAAAAATTTGTTGATATTAGTAGGTTTGTAGTATATAAGATTAATTTGTAATTACCTCATGAGCTCTGGAATTAAGGTGTTTTTGTTCACTGACTTTCTACTCTTTTGGAGCAGTTATCTAAAATGTTCTTACAAGGCTGAATTTAACACAGGGAGAGAAAGTGTGCCCATATTACATGCGGAATGGCTCCTGCCAATATGGATCAAATTGCAGGTTTAACCATCCTGATCCTACTGCAGTGGAAGATGGTGACTCTCCTTCAAGATATGGTAATGGTGGATCTGTTTCATTGCAAGGACCTTCTATATCAGCTATGACATCGTGGTCGTCACCCAGAATGAATGAGGCTGCATCCTATGTTCCAATGATGTTTACTCCAACCCAAGGTGTTTCATCTCCAAATCCTGAATGGAGTCGATATCAGGTACATTCTTACTGTCAGGCCACTTACTTTGATCAACTTCTTGAACCTGAAAATTACTTGTTCTTGTTTTTTCTTCATATTTAGTTTATACATGCAGTAAATTCCCACTTTCCTAAACTGTCTCTCATCCCTCGTAGTGCACTCACATTATGATAATGAGGGCATATCTATCTTGTGGAAGATACATCTCAATAACGCTGCTAGTTTTAACAAATTTATCTCTTACACTAGTTAGTATCCATGTTATGTTTTATGACGGAACAGTAGTCCTGAACTTAATCTACTGGTTCAGTATTCTTCTTAAGTTTACTGCCTGAATAAGTTTGCAGCTCGAAGAGAGTATTTTTTTTTTTTGGTTTTTTGGGAATTGCTTAACCCCCTGCCCCCCCTCCCTCTCTCTCTCTCTCTCACCCACAAAGATCAAAATTTCGTTTTGGTGTACTGTGTCGGCCACCTTGGAAACGCAAACATTTCATAAGTGGTTCTGAAACTTTTCAAAAACACAATGGAAACGGATAAAAAAATTGAGAATTTATCTTCAAAATATTCTAAAATATTGTTCGAAATATGGTGAAACATTTTAAAACGCCTCAAAGCATTCTGATACATTGGTAGAAACATTCTGAAACATTTTCAAAATACTTCAAAACATTCCGAAACACCTTGAACCACTATAATTTGATTCATTCGCTAATTTGTTTTGTTCTCCATGGAAATGAAAACGTTTTGACTATTTCGAATCGAATTTTTAATCCTTGGACCTTGGTCATACACATTGTTTTAGGATTGCCTTGTTTTTGGAGCCCTCTGAATTGTATGTTTTGAGGCATTTCAATGCAAAGCTCTGGAGCACATGCCTTGAAGCATCATTAAACTAAGTCCATTTATATGGTCACATGCCTGAAGAAGTGCATCTATCTCGGGGCTAGTGACAATGCCAAAACCAAGGAATAGAAGCCCCCTGCGCTCCCTTGGATGTATGGAGTGCATATTGTCTCCAGTTTTGCAAAGTTGTATGAAAGCAAGTGTTTGTCCTTGAAAAAGGCCACCCAGCTTTGAAATTGTAACAGACAGAAACTGGGATCTGTCAGTGGGCTGGAAGACGAATCATCCCATTGAACAGAATTAGAAGGTCCTTACTTTTTTTTCCTGAAACAAATCGGCAAAAATCTTCACAATCTCTTCCCTTTAACAAAATTATATGCTTTTTTAGAAATGCACATTTAATTGTATCATAATATTGGCCTTGACATGTTGATTATGAAATATACAAGCTGTTGACTTGCACGTGTTTTTCTATATATGAATATGAGTTATGTCCTCATGTATTTGTTGAATAAAAAGTATGCTTCTGAAACCTGTGCCACCATTATTAGTCGGCTTGCTTCTATGCCCTTAGCACAGTAACAGAATTCGTTGGGGGATATAAGATATCAAATTAAATGACAAGTTCTGAAAGAGATTAAATGTGTTTTAAGAAGAAAAATGCTGGGTATGACAGATTTCATTTTCTAATGATGTGTGTCTGCATCTGAAACTTAATTCTTCCCTTTTGTTCCCCCTTTCTGTGTAGTTTGCCTAACTGGTGCTGATAATAGTCAAGGGCCCAAAAGAGTTAGTTTGTATTACTATCTCACTAAAATAACACTTCCATGCTATTTGGACCTTGCATTTATTTGGCTCTTCATCATTAACTTGTTTTTGTCTTGGCTTGTTAAGGCACCTGTATACCAACCATCAGAAAGCAGCCAACCTATACCTCCAGCATTTGCAATGAAAAATCCAGCAGCTGATACAAGCTTCTACAATTATCCTCAACTGCAAATGCCAGTTGACGAATTTCCTGAAAGACCTGGTCAACCTGAATGCAGTTACTTTTTAAAAACTGGGGACTGTAAGTACAGATCTAACTGCAAATTTCACCATCCAAGGAGTCGGCTCCCCAAGGCACCCCCTTGCATTCTCAGCGACAAAGGCCTGCCTCTAAGACCTGTAAGTTTATTCTTATTTTGAGGCCTTGATTATTTTTCTAATAAGCTATCATGAAAATATGGTGTAGTTTGAAGTATAATTCTTGCCTATTCTTGGCAAATTTTGTAACAGATTTTATCAAGAATATTATGAATTAAACGGATTCTATTAGTCCAAGCAAATTTATATAACTGGGATCTCACTTTCCAGAGGACCTGTTAGATATTTCTCTAATCTACCCCATGTTAAGGCATCACTTACAAGACCATAGCCGAGGGATTCTCTGTTTTCAGTCCGCAAACTGAGTGTCGTTTATACTATGTTGCTAAAAGCTTTATTCTTATCATGCATTTATTAAAATAGGCCTTCGAGTTGTGCATGCGCAGCTCATTTAACCTTATTCTTCAAAATATAGGATCAGGAGATCTGCTCGCATTACAACCGGTATGGCCTTTGCAAGTTTGGGCCTGCTTGTAAGTTTGATCATCCCATAAATTATGGCAACTCAACTTCTTCGGTTGGGTCTGAACCAGATTAGCATGGAGCAAGGATGGTTGGATTTGAATATGGAAACAATTTATCTCTGATGTAGCAGCCTGTGTTAGAATTTTTGCATCCAAGGTCATCTAGTGTTTAGGATTCCAAGTTACAAGCATTTCGAATTCTTCTCACACATGAACAATTCTATTTTACTTTTTGGTGCTACAAGTTCTTTAAAGGATGGTGAGATATCTTTTTTATCTGTCGTGTTACTACAAGAACAAACAAAATCAGGTATGTAAATTATCTCTATACAGTGATGTTGGCAATTTATTATGATGTGTGATAACTGAACATCTCCCAGTTACCTCGTCGACTGATTTGTCTTGGGCTCTTAGCTAAAACCCATGGCCATGGACGACAGGATATTTATTCTTCTTGCAAATAGGTGAAAAAGGGTTTTAAACTGGCTTCGCAATTTATGGATGTTGAATTCAGTTATAAGTCATGGGTCGTATTTGAATCCTGATTTACTATTGAATGATGTTGAAAATATGCCATTTGAATCTCTACGTATTTATCAATGAACTTGCTTCTTTCACCAGGACAATAACTGATGAAGGGTCAAAGAACAAAGAAAGTTGGGAATAGTGAGGTTTAGGTTTTGGAAGTTTTTATACGGATTAAATAAAGGAATTTTTTGTGCGTCAGTACTATTTCATTGTAAAAAAAATACTCAATAACAATGTTTTTTATAGAATATTTTTTTTTGGATGATAGAAATACCCACAAGTTAGCAATAATTACTTGGCGGAAAGAGTGGACAAGAAAAGTGTTATAAATTATGTAATAATTTCATTAAATTTGGTAATTACTATATCTCTCAAAACATGAATTTTTAAATTTTTAAAAATTTATTACAAAATATTTCAATTTTCAACCAAAAAAAACAATACAAATGTTGAAGTACTATTGAAAATTAATCTTTTTTTTTTATTTTGATTCAAATTGTCGATAATGTAACATAAAAGTGATATATAATTATTTTTATTAACATTTTAATCACCGATTCGTACACACAATTTAAGTAATATGCGTCACATAATGTGAATTCACAACGCTGAGCCAAAAGCCCATGGCCCGTTAGTTCAGCAGCTAATCAGCTCAATAGCTGCCATGTGGCGTCCAATAGCCCATCGAAGGCCTATGGCCTAACCAGATCAAGGTCCGCAAAGCGATTCAAGAAAACAACAAATGTAAAATTTGGAGAAAAAATAATAATTTAAGTTCATCAAGGTTGACCCAATACTTATTCAATTTGACTAATGCTATTTGAATTTAAAAATTTGACATAATTTTTAAACTTAATAATTTTGTTGCGTTGAAATCATTGGATCAATAGCAAATTTTAATATTTAATGGGTTCCACAGTAAATCCAAAAATTATAATAAATTAAGTCATCAAAATTAAATTTCAATAGCACTGTTCATTCAATTTTAGTCACTCATCATTGGTACCCTATCATTCTTCCTTAATAATCGTATGGCCACCCCAGAACCTACGGATTAAAGAAAGGCATTCCTCAAACGATACGAATCGATACGAAGTTTAAAAGTTTAAGTCCGCTCTAAACTATTTATTTTATAAATGAATGAATTCAACATGATATGATTAATAACAAAATTGACTATGTATAAAATTAATCAAAGAAAATATAGGATACAATTTATTTATATACTTATTATACATGATATATAAGACAAATTTGATACGATACGATTTATTATATAAAAATTAGTAAATAAATTAAATATAATTAAAATATTTTTTAATACGAACTCGGTAAAATTTGGGGTTTGTTTTACCATGACAACCTTACTCGATAACCCAATTGCCTTTCTTTATCAAAAAAAAAAAATGATCCAATTGCGTAACTAGTTCACACTTCACACGCTCAAATGGAAACCTCGTGCAAATAAGGCAAACAAATTCAACCAAATTTTGAATTTCCCACAAAAAATCAAATCGCACTCAGAAAAACTTCTTGTGTTTGAGATCAAATCAAAAACGGAAAAACCTTCTTGTTCAGTCGAAGATCGGATCGACAAGGTACTTTCACTCGATTTTACACTTCTTCTTCTTCGTAATTTTACTCAGTCCCTACTTTGCGAAATTGCATTCACTTACAGAATCTACTTTTTCACTGAGTTTCTATACGCCTTGTGCAGCGGAAGACAGAGCTGAGTAAAGCTAGTATTGTTCTCAGTTGCAATCAGCTACACTCCGAAGATTCTTCTTGTGGCTAGGTTTTCCCGTCAAACCCTAGCTTTTCTCTGAACTGCCTCTCTATCTGGTTCACTCACAGATACATATTTTATTACCTATGATGCATTTGTTGGGAATTCTCGCAGAAATTGGTCAGTAGTAGATTCTGTACAATGGCAAGAAAAATATAAGTAGACGAAATAGTTGAATTTGAGTTGACCGCCTTGGACAAATTGATAGAAAATTTATAGCTTATGCGTTTTAGGGGTTTTTTTTTTTTTTTTGGGGGGGGGGGGTGTTCTTGAATGGGTGTTTTGGGTCTTTATTTTTTGCCCAGAAAAGCATATCCATCAAATAAAACGTCGATTAGATATACTTGATTTTAAAAACTATTCGTTGTTGATGTTCTGAAATAGTCTATTGATTAGATGTTTTAGGTATGCCACTTTGTGTGTGTGCTAGGCCTGCTCATTTTGGCCAATAGTTTACATCATGGCATCATTGTGGTGGCAATATCAGTGAAACAAGTGATTTTCCAGAGGCAATGCTCGCTTTGAATGTGGATCACTACACCCGTAATAAGAGCTGAAGTTGCTGGATGAAAACATGATCATGAAATTGAAGTGACTCTAAATATAAAAGAGTTTAAGAACTTTCTTGAAATTATCTCACAATTGAGACAATTTCTTGGAAATTATTCAAATTAGTTCCATAAAAAAATGGAGCCGACTCATTATTGGTTGATAGGTGACAAACATGACAGGTGCTGAGGCTTCACCTTGACAGTTTCTACAAAAGATCCATAATTTGAATTTTTTGATTCCTTGAGGTGTCAAATTGTTATTACAATTCTGGCATTTGAAGATCACAGCATCATTTTGGACTATTTGCCCTTAAATTTGAAACATTTAGTCAAATTATTGTGTGATATTGGCTACTGAATGAAAACCTAATGATGATACAAATTATAGGATGGTAGCAACTATGAGTGGTTCTTTTACAAGTTTTCAGATAGCAGCCAGTTTAACATTTTTTTTCTTTAAATAACGCAAAATATGAAGGCTGTTGCTGATTATGCAACCAAGGTGGTTCTCCAGCCTCCAAAACCCAAGAAACAGAAGAGAAAAAACATAAACCTTGCCTCATACTTTTACCAAATTCATGGAAGTGCTACTGATATTTTGCGCATTATGATGATTCCCTTGTCCACACTATCATAATATCATTTCTGTTCATGGTTTTCTTCTTTTGGGATATGTTCTGATTCCTTTTTGTTGAGCATGAAATATGCGAGCTTTGGTGCTACTTGCCTTCACTTGGTTCTTAAGAAGATTGGTCTGTATGAAATTTGCATGTATGACTAGCATGGATGTGCACTAGATGTATATTCATATATGCCTATTAAAAGCATTACTGGTGTTTGTGTGATAGAGTATGGCGTACTCAGAACCTGTGAGCACTGAAAGAGATTCTGTACTAGTTAACACTGGTCCCAGGAAACCTCGAATTTTGCTTGCTGCTAGTGGAAGTGTGGCTGCTATAAAGTTTGGAAATCTTTGCAATTGCTTTTCTGAATGGGCAGAAGTGAGAGCGGTTGCGACGAAATCTTCGTTACATTTCATCGATAGAGCATCACTTCCTAAGGATGTAATTCTTTATACTGACGATGATGAATGGTCCACTTGGAAGAAGATAGGTGACAGTGTGCTCCACATTGAGCTGCGCAGATGGGCTGATATCATGGTTATTGCCCCCTTGTCAGCAAACACACTTGGCAAGGTAACATATAAACTACGATCCTTTATAAAGTTTGATTCTCAAAATTCTGAACATGTTTTAAGTTGAATTGGGAAGTAAGGAGTGCATGCTGCAAAACAAACTTTAATTGCATTTGCCAAATATCGAATTTAAACTTTTTTTTTGTGCTCTTGCTCTAAATGTTATACTTCACAAGACTGAGATCGTAATGAATGTATGTGGCTACTCGTGTGCATGAATGTAATAGATATGTAAATCTGAATTGTTCCACATCGCTATTTAAGATTCATGGAGTTGATACAAATAGTTCAACCACGGTTAGTACATACACACTCAGAATATGATTTTTGGCATGCCTCATATTGCTTGAAATGCCTTTTTAGGTCCTCATGGGCCTCCTTCTATGAGAGACGTTTTTGCTGATTAACTTCATTGCTTAATATGGCTTGATGCAACTTTAGATTTTGTTTTCCTTTTTCTTGTTTTATTGTAGATTGCAGGAGGATTGTGTGATAACTTGCTGACCTGCATTGTGCGGGCGTGGGACTACAGTAAACCACTTTTTGTAGCCCCAGCCATGAACACCTTTATGTGGACCAATCCTTTCACAGAACGGCATCTTATGGTAATTGATGAGCTCGGAATTTCTCTCATACCACCTGTAACAAAGAGGCTAGCCTGCGGGGATTATGGAAACGGTGCGATGGCTGAACCATCACTAATTTTCGCATCTGTGAGACTCTTCTTAGAGTCAAGGGCACAACCAGGTGGCAGCAATAGTCACTAGTTAATCATTGCAAATCCTTCATACATAGAGATGACGGAAGAACAAGTACTTACCAACTTCTTGTACAAATGCTAGTGTCCTTTTTTGGTTCCCAAATCTGCACCAATTGTTTGGAATGGTTATTTTTATTGAGAGTGTTCTGTTTGACATTATGGGCTCGATTCTGGTGCATTCTGTGTAATGTGAAGAGATTAATATAGGAATGTTCCTTGTGGACTAGGTTCGGTTCAATTGTCTGTTTTCGTTTTTCTGAACTGTGTAATAGATTTATCGGTTATGGATGCCAGTTTCTTGGTATATGACCAAATTCTGATTGAACAGGCTCTGTTTTGAAAGCTATAGTACAAAGATTGTTACTTACATTCATAATGGGGGTCAAAACATCATAATCGAGTCTTCAAAGTGAAATTTCTTGCAGAAACTCGTCTCAGCCGACAGTGGGAGTCAATGATATATTCATTCAGGTCATTTACATGGCTGAGAATCTTCCATTTAGGGAGTTTTGGTATTGGGTTCCTCTCTGCTGCATTGGGTGTCTGGTGTAGTTGTTTTCTTTTTCACAATGGGTGGGGGCTTAGTAGATCTAAGATTTTAATTTTTTGTGTGTCTCAACTGTAGTATATTGTTTCAAGGAGTAAGGATTCGAAATGCGACCCAATATCTTTTTAGTTATTGAATGGAAAATCTTTTTCCTGTTATACGAATTCGATTTTTATTTTATACGGAGAAAGTTATCTTTCTCTCTGTGTGATTCGTATTATTTTTCACGACAAAAAAACATATGCCTCTTTCATTAATCATGAAAATTTTGTTAAGAAGAAAAATAAAAATTTATATATTAAAGATGACATGGATCCCAAGTAATGTATTGGATAACGATGTGTAGGAATTAAATTTATGAAAATAAATAAACACACATGCAATCACCGATGAGGCAGGTGGTGTGAGTACATGGACATTTAAGGACCCCACGTGATTTCTTCAACTACTTGCTCAATGCTTCCCTGTTTTCATAACTCCACCTCCTTTATTTACACCAGTGGTTGAATCTCAACGGACTATCAGAATGTGGGCCCCCCACGTATTGAATGAAATGAAGTTTTTTTTTTTTTGAATGAGTAAATGAAGTTGTTAAAAATCACTCTTTCACATTTTCAATTTTTTAGTTACAATAATAATCCCATTAATCCAAAGATGGTTCGAGACTTCAAACGATAACAGGACGCGTTATAAATTTATGTGTTTTAAATTTAAATATTTGTAATTTATTGGGGTTAGATCATAAGGAATTTATTCCTTATAAATATTCTAATTCTACCATAAATGGTTTGTTTTTGATTGGATTGAAAAGGAGATTTTAGTCGAGGTACACATAAATTGATCTAAACATTTCTAACTATTAAAAAAAAAATCCATTAAATAATATTAGTAATTATGATTAGCAAGTTCTAACTTCACGAATGAAATAATTTTTCCATGTACGACGATTAATTTAGCATAGTTTTCATGCAAAACGAAAAGGAAATTAATGTGCATTAGTAAAATTCGATCTCATAAAAAGAAATAGGAAAAATTTCAGTCACACATTTTTTAGTTTATCATATCTTTAAATACACTTCATCTATTATTTAAAACATCAGTCTCCTTCTAATTTATATTTAAACATCACTAACACCTTCTGCTATTAAAACACTATTTTTAATAAAAAATTTTTTATCTAAAATACTAAAATTACCCTCACATAAAACTCTGAATAATTTTTTTACATAAAATTCAAGTAGATTAAAATTTATTTTTTTACATCTTAAAATTCAAGATGATTTATTTTTTTTTACGTATTAAAATTCAAGTCGATTTGAGTTCAACCGGAACGGTTAGCACCGATTAAAATTTGATTCGAGTCAATTAAAATTTATATATTTTTACTTACTAAAATTCGTGCCATTTAATATTCGATTCAAGTTGATTAAAATTTATTTTTTATTTATTAAAACTTGAGTCGATTAAAATTTATAATTTTTTATGTATCAAAATTCGGGCCGATTAAAATTCAATGCGAGTTGATTAAAATTTGATTCGAATTGATTAAAAATAAATTTTATTCGGTTCGAATAGAATTTTAGTCGGCCTAAATTTTAATACCTAAAAAAATTTATAAAATAGAGAGTGTATCACAGAAGATATGTCTATCTAGAGAGAGTGCAGATGAAATTTTCCAAAACTATATCATGGTAATTTACTAAAATTGTATTTTATTTAAAGTCCTTAATTTGACAGGAGATATCAGTAAATATTCAAAAATTAGAGGAACTATCCTTAAAAATATGATAAAATAAAAAATGTGAGACTGAAATTTTTCCAAAGACATCTATCGGACAAGATTTCTGAATTTTCAGATAGTCCAAACCGGTAATGGAATGTCGGTGCAAACAAAGGGCCAGTGAAGATTTTCTCTGATGACGTTAGGATGGTGATTGTTGGTTTGTTGTCTTTAAACTATGACATTTTATTATTTTTTTTTGGCAAAGTTTCACATCTCCACAATCTTAATGAACTAAAAAAGAATAGTCGTACGTATAAAATTATAAATGGAGGTGGTTAATGTAGTACCTGATAAGCTCGTTAGAGTAGCTTCTATGTGAACACTTCAAAGGGGTATTATTTGTGCCTAGTTATGCATACTTTATAATCATAAATTTAAAGAATGTCCGACTTATTTTAGGTAATATAGTATAAGCAATGTTATAGGGACTTTATTTGGGGATTTAATAATGTGACTTTAATACAACCACTGCATTAGTTGTGAGTTTCAATGTTAAATGGAGCCCACAACCAATCCAATAATTATATTAAATTAGGTCATTAGATTAGGTTCAAATGACATTTTTTCCTTGAAAATAGGATGTTACAATGAAACTAAAATTACCAAATAGTGAAGCTTTTGAATGGAAAATATACACAGAATCGTTCAAAAACAACGAGGTGGTGGAAGCCCGTTTATTACAAAGATTCTCCGGATCCGGTTCAATTTGATACTCTTTTTTTAATGGTTAAAAGTACTCGTATTAACTTCCGTGGACTTCAATTAATTCTTTTTTCGATTTGATCAAAAATACACTATCTAAATCGAGACTAAATGTTTAATGATTTAATCAAAAAATATTATTAAAATTTAGCTTAATTCACAATTCGTAATTGTTACCCACCAAATACCTTTGAGATAATGAGCCGCCTTTTGGCCATCAATGTAGCATTGCTATTATAAATTACCAAGAGCATGCAAGCCTAGACGTCTAACCAAAGCCAAAAGCCTCAAAAAATGGCTTCTTCCTCCCCCTCCCTCTTTTCTCAAACCACCTTCATCACCATCACATCCATCCTCCTCCTTCTCCTCTCTTCTCTCTCCTCCGCTTCTACTTCCAATACTACAACACACCCACGTCCCTTCAAGACCATCTACGCCTTCGGCGACTCCTACACCGACACCGGCAACACCGAATCCGCCACCGGCCCAAACGCCTTCACCTACGTATCACACCTTCCTTATGGCAGCACTTACTTCCACCACCCTACCAACCGATACTCCGACGGCCGTCTAATGATCGACTTCGTTTCTCAAACTCTCTCCTTACCCTTCTTGCCACCTTACCGGAACCGTAACGCCGATAAATCGTACGGTGTGAACTTTGCCGTTGCTGGTTGTACTGCTATAGAGCACAGTTTCTTTGTCAAGAACAATCTTACACTGAACATTACTCCTCAGTCGCTTGGAACTCAGCTTGTTTGGTTCAACAAGTTCTTGGAGGGTAAAGGGTGTATAGGTGCAACGGCGACGCCGGAGTGCACGGCGGTGTTCAAGGATGCGTTGATATGGGTTGGTGAAATTGGGGCCAATGACTACGCCTACTCGGTTGGATCTTCTGTTCCAAGCAAAACTATTCGACAACTTGCAATAAATACTGTTACTGGTTTTCTGCAGGTAATTACTGCACCTCACCACTATGTTTGTACCCACCACAAAAAAAAAAAAAAAGAAAAAAAAAAGGAGAATACCATTTTGCCCTTGAAAGATACAAACAAATCTTAGTTTATTTCTTGAATAATTTTTTTTTTTTAACATCACTCAGAAATAAAAACGTTACAATATTGTCTAAAAATATTACAATTTGCTTCCAAAAATTAATCACTGGGAGGACAAACTAAGAATTTTTATATGTTTTAGGGGATAAAATAGGATTTTCCCAAAATGAATCGAAACAAATAGAATTGATTAAATTTTGAAGTTTGTTTTTAGAGTAAACTATATATATGACTCTCAAATTATAATCTTTGTGTCAATTAAGTATCTGATTTTTTTTATATCAATTAAACTCTTAAACTCTTTAATTATGTTAATTAAGTATTTTTTGTCTTTTTGTACCATATAATTACATGATTGACACATTCTAAAGAAGACAGACATAAGGATCCGTTTGTTAATCAAGAAAAAAATAATAGAAAATGAAATAGATAGAAAGTGAAGTAAAAGAAAAGAAAGTGAATGAAAATATATTTTCATGCATACATTTGGTTAGTATGAAAAACTTCTAAGAAAATTTTAAAATAATTTCTTTCCATTGTTTAAAAGAAATGAAAGTTACAAGAAATTTTTTCTAATTGTCTAAATTATCCTTAATTATTTTAACTTAGTCTAAGAAAAAAATATTTTTTATTATTCAAATTTTAAAAAAATTAGCTCCTAATATAATTCAGAGACAAGAATCGACTCAAACTCTGATCTCTAGACTAAATTATATGATTTTTCTAATTTGTATAAAGTTTTTTAAAATTAATAAATAATTGAATATTTTTTTAAAAATAAGGGTAAAATGGAAAATTAGGTCATTGAACACAATTTTCTTGCTTTTTCTTGTATTTTTTGCAAGAAAAAAAAATTAGTTAAATATGAGAAAATTTAAGTATAGAGAAAATTATTTGTTCTATCATTTTTTATTTCATGTTAAATAAACACATGTAAAATTTTAAAATTTTCTTTTTCTTGCATTTTCTAGCATTATCCTGCTAAACAAACAGACTATAAGGGTTCAATTGACGCAATTAGAGAGTTCAAGAGTTCAATTGACCAAAAAAAAAAGCTTAAAAGCTTAATTGATATAAAAGAAGTGTGGTTGACTCAAATGAATTTCTATTTATAATTAATTATTATTTTATTGTAAAATAATCTATGTCCAAAAGATAAATAATATGAAATTATACTCAAATAGCTCTAGATCATATGCACTTCTCTCTTCATTTGTTGTCTAATAAATTTATGGAAACTTTGATTTTCTAATTTTTTTTGATTTTATGATTGATAATGTAAATTTTGAAGGATTTCCATAGAGATATATAAATTACTAATGTTTAATTTGAAATTTTGACTCAAATGTTTGTTTAAACTTTGTGTAACCGAGCTTCAGTAAGAATCTAAACATTACAATTGAGTCTAGCTTAAGTAGTACGTAGCAACAATCGAGTCAAGTCTGAGCATACTCAAACTTAGAAAATCAGCTAGATTAACACCCTATTAAGCATAGAGTTGTCCTGTCTTTTGCCTGCAAAATTTCATAGATGTTCATATCTTCAAAATGTCTCTGCTGATCCACAGGCATTGCTCAAGAAGGGTGCAAAGTACCTTGTCGTCCAGGGCCTCCCAACAACCGGATGCCTAACCATGTCCATGGTGTTGGCTTCAGAAGACGATCGAGACGACATGGGCTGCGTCGGCAGCGTTAACAAGCAAAGCTTCGTCCACAACACCATCCTTCAATCCAAGCTCAGAGATCTCAGGAAACAGTTTCCTCATTCTGTCATCGTCTATGCTGATTACTGGAACACCTGCAAAACAATCATCAAAAATGCAAAATACTATGGCTTCAACGAGGTGTTCAAAGCTTGCTGTGGATCTGGTGGTGGACCATACAACTTTGATTTGTTCAATGCCTGTGGCTCCTCTGCCTCGAGCTCGTGCCCGAACCCGTCTCAGTTCATCAATTGGGATGGAGTTCATCTCACTGAAGCCATGTACAAGGTGGTCTCTGACTCGTTTCTTAGTGGAACGTCTTCTCACCCTCCATTTGATTACTTGTTGAGCAGGAAACAGCAATCAGGATGAACTGATCAGGGTTCGATCAAAATCGTTGTCATCGTTATTGTCGCTGTTGAGCTTTTGTAAGCCATAGGAAGTCATTTAATATACATATTATGGTTGAAGTTTCTTATGAAAATTCTCCTGTAAGAGTTATGAGATGATATAAGTTTTGTTGAGGATATTTCTGGGCAAAAAATGGAAAAAAAGATCCAGGGGAAATCTAGAAATTATTTTAATCACCCAAAAAGTTTATGAACTGAGACCAAAATCTCACAGATTCATATAGCCAGCTGTTTGTAAGAATAAGAAATGTGATCTCTTAATTGTTTGATCAAATCTAGAACAGTTGATGTAGAATATGTAAAGGGCAGATACCTTGTTCACAGGAGAAGATTAAAGAACAAAAGAGAAACAAAAGGTGGTCCTGAAGATAAAAATCCAAGCTCATATTTGTTGATTATGATTATCGGCATAAGAACTTGTTCTGTTCCTTTACTGAACGCAGCAAAGCATTGCAGAGGCCACCTAAATGTGGTCCAATTCTTCCTAGAGAACAAAAAATGGGGGTAACGATACATAAAAGACGAGAATAGAAGAGGTCTACAAATAGCTACCTATATTAGGAAAAATTTAGCAAAGAAGAGTTATGAAATTGATTCAGTTGCTAAGGTTTGGTGGCCTAAATGATGAGGTACTACATGACATCAAACTATATGAAAGTTCACCAGATCTCTGAATGGGAATCTAAAGACCTTGTACCCCAAAAATAGGTTCTAAGTTGGCATAGAAATTCCTTCTGACCTTTCCTCCCACGATTAAAGGATTTGCTCTATGAAACTAAGAGAAATGTGCCTAAGGTGGCATGTAAGCAAACTATACATGCACGCTAAGAGAGGAGGAGAAATGTTCACAACAAGGGCGGCCCAACGCAAATTGAGGCTTAAAGCGAAAATTTTACCTCATTTAATATTTTAAGAAAATAATAAATTTTTTAACTATTATTTGACTTTGTATAGAGAGTTACGGTATGATTTATTTTTAATATTTTAGTGCTTTTGGGATTGAGCGGAATTAGATAAAAAATTGGGTATAATTATGAAGTTAAGATCTTACAGACTTAAAAAAACTATAAGAGAGTTAGAAATAAGGAAAAACAATCGGAGCAAGGCAATGAGGGTTTGAGGGAGAGAAAAAATTAGAAATAGGTGGTACAAGAGAGCTAGAGATAAAGAAAAAGAATCGGAGTAAGACAATGAAAGTTTGAGGGAGAGAAAAATTTGGAAATAGGTGATGAGAGTAGAGGAAAAAATAGTGAAAATGAATTTGAGAGAAAATGTTACTTTTAAAGTTAGAAATCATTACTTTTAGATTTTTTTATAAGGTTTTGTTATATTTTAGGACTATATATATATATATATATATATATATATATATATATATATATATATATATATATATATATATATATATATATATAAGACATTATATAGGCATGTGAAAAATATTATTACATTTTAAAACTTTCTATAAAGTTTTAGATTGATTTCTAAAATATATTGGGCCTTATATGGACAAGATTCATCATCTTTGAAGGATTTTTAGGAAGTTCAACATTTTAGAATTATCTATTATTTTATTTCCATGTATTTATCATGCATTAGATTTTTTTGTTAATTCCTTATTATAATTAGATTACCCTTAACTAGGTGTAATTTAATTTTTAATTAATAAAATTTTCTCGTACCATCAAGGTTCGTCAAAAAAAAACTTGGTCTATTCAAAAAAGTCTCAAAACATGAAGCTGACCTAATGACTGCAAATTAAATTAGGGCTCTATGAGACTATTTTAATAGTTAGCCTACTATGTCTCCTCCCAGTCAAATGATCAAAGTATTTGTGCATCTCATAACAATTGTAGTCTCTGCTTGAGTCTCATTATCAAGTCTTCATCTATGGAACCAATTAAGTAAGACAAATTAATTAATGGATGACGTGTAAGGATTAAAGGTAATATGTGTTACTCCATATTTTATTTGTCAAACGTGGACCATTACAAGGGATATTGTCATAGTAAAGATATTCAACGTTATAACGTGATTTCACATCATTTTTATTTTTATTAATTTTTGTATTTAATATATAAGAAACATTTGATATGTGTTATTTCATACTCATACTATATGAATACAATTGTTCAATGGTAAAATTCATAGGAATTGAAAATATACATAGCTCATCATGGCTAAGTACATATTTTTTTATCAAACAAATCTACATATATATTTGTCTCTCTCATCTCTTTCTTGAATCGCACTTTTTGGCACATAATATTTTATTTCATTACTATTTTTATGTTCTTCTTATTTGTTTGTATGTTCTTCATAAAAATTGTGGTATTAGATTATCGACTATCAGTATATATATTCATAATTTTTTGTTATCTTGTTATTGAATTATTTTTTAATTTTTTATGATCCATAACTTTCTTATATATGTAACGTTCACCTACTGTTTTATTGTATTTTATTTTCTCAGATAATAACTTTATCAATTTTTTTTTATATTAATTAATTTTTATTGTGAATCCTTTATAAGAATGGACAATTTGATTAGTTTATGCGTGGGCCTAAAGCCCATGCTTTTTCCACTCCACTGTTGAGCCGGCCATGGTTCACAATTACAACCACAAGACAGCTACTCCCAGTCTCTACTCGTAGTTCCCCAAAGGGATTCCGCTTGGTTTAATTCCACTACCCTCATCTCCTTCACTCTAAGCCACTTAGCAAATTTTGAAAACTTATTTCCAATACAAGATGAAACTTTAGCTGCAAAATCTCTTGGTGGCTTAATGAAGTGGGCACTCGGAGAGCTTAGTAAGCACGAAACAAGCCTACATCGAGTGTGATTGAATTGCAGACTGAGATATGTGGGAAAATGTTAAAGTCAATTCCAGCTCAGGCTTCAGGAAGCTAAATTGGGTATACAATAACGATCTCTGTAACTGTTGCTACTTGTCACAAAAAAAAAAATTGCGAATTCATATCAAAACAAGCTGGACAACAATTTCAACTTCAAGCTTGACATTACAACTGAAACAGGATAAGAATTATATGCAGCCACCACAAATAGGAAAACGAGAATTTTTTTTTTTTCTACTCCAGTTCTTACTTTAACAGTGGAACAGTCCTTATAAATTTGCATGCTTCCTGACTTGTTGATGCATTGTAAACTGTGTAAACTAGCAGAGCACACAACGTTTGTGATTTAACAGTTTGGCCCATATCTTCAAGTTCTATAAGCTTGGAAGGCATTGAAGAACTATGCCTTTGTTGGCTTCAGTAATATACCTCGAATTGTACCCAGTCAACACAAAAGTTTAACGTTGTTCAGTTTAATCTCTTCAACAATGCAAACAAGTTTCTCATGACAATTCTGAAGAGCAAAGACAAGTTATATGGTCTCTAGTAATTTTAATGTCCTATGTTGGGCAATCCTAACAGAGTGATAAAGTATATCAAAAAATAAATTCCCTCATGAAATCAGGAAAATGATTTAGATTAATTGTTGCTTCTTTGTTACTCTGGACAAAGATTAAAGTGGAAGCAAGCTGTTTAATTCAGAAGAACCTCACCAGACTCAATCCACATATGATGGTTGGCGTTTTCTCCTCTTTCTTTACATCTTTCTTTGTGTCTTAGTCAGTTTAGATTAAGTACTCATAATATAATAAGAAAAGAGCATCTGGAATATCTTTAGGCAGGCTGGTTATGTAAAGATAAAAACGAAACATGTCCTCCCTTGACACAGTCACTTGGTCAACCACATCCCCACTGCATGTGAGAACCCACAAGTCCCCTGAATTCACCCTCTTCAAACTACCACGGCAACATGGGCAGGACTCAGACCTTATGCTCCTGCAACAGAGATGGGGGAAAAGAAAATTCAATATTGCAGATTGATTCAGCGAAAGAGGAAACAAAATAAGGAAAAAAAGGCCCAAATTACCAATCATGATAGCAATTGATGCATATTGCATGACAACAATTTGGCAGAACCATTTTGGTGCATGGCTCTAAGCAGATCCCACATTCATCTTCTCTTTCCAAATCAGCATCTGAATGCTTTCGTTTTTCTTCTAGTCTATGCCGGACAACCATCTCCAAACCTTCACCTTTATCTTGATCAATACCATGCTCTGATGTGCTATCATGGAGGCGCTAAAGAGATGGTAATATGACACCTGCAACTTTTTTTCTATTAGGATACGCAAATATTAATCAAACTGCATAAACCAGATAAAACAAAATGAAACCAGCCTTCTTATTGCACAGCATTACCAAGTGAAAAACCTTTCTTAATAATGACATTAGGCATGCAAGTTTGCAACGAGTTTAACTAAATTAAACACGCTCAATGTAATAAAATAGACTAGTTACAAATGCTAAGACGAGACAAAGAATATTCCACACCGGTGAGATGCCTAATTGCAAATTTAACATTTAGTATTATTCAAAGAAGAAGAGAAGATAGTCTGCATACTGTAGAATTCTGTAATAGTTGCTTTCCTTCCATGTGAAGTAAACATCATCTTACCACCACGGCACACCTAAAGAGCATAAAAAATAAAGCATTGACCAATGAGTGACTTACCTCCCAAAAGTTAACAAATCAAGACAAAAATTTCTCATCAAAGGAGCATGGGCAAGCAAATAGGGAACTGACCTTGTTTACAACTATGTGGAAGAGGTTCAAATAACTTGGAAGTAAACATGTACATGAGCAGTCCATCCATTGGAGCAAAAACCAAAACAGAGTTGCCAAGGTATTGTAGACCAATTCCTTGTGAAGACATGCACCACCCTGGCCTATCGGAACTGAAGCTGCCCTATAAACATCATTCAGAGGAATCAACGAACCACAATTACTTCAGGCGCCCAACCACAAAAACATCCTCCTAAAAGTTTGATCAAATAATTATGCACTATAAAGTACAATATGAATTCAGGAACTTAAAATTCCAAACAAAACTAAGATAAAAGTTAAAGATTCACCAAAGAAATAGGAGAATAACAAAAGCAAATAGATAGGCGCATCCACACAAGCGCATAAAAACAAACTCCCAAAGAGCTTCCTACTTTCCAAATTAGATTGTATGCTCATTGTATTTCAAATGTACCAAATTGCCACAACAAATAGCTGTGTGAATGCAAATTCGCCACAAAACAATTATTACCTCAAGCAGCCAAGATGATAATAATAGATTCTATTGATATTCCCTTGCCCAGCAATGCCACCCATTCATATATTAAATTATTGTTTTGCAATTCAGGCACAAAATAGACATACAATAAGAAAAGTCAACAGTAAACATCCAAAGCATATCCCTTTTCATAAATTCCTTAGTACACTGCAGAATTCAATCAAAACCCATCTCAAATAAACGCAGAACAAGGGTTTAACTCAGAAATTCGATATAGTATACAAATTTTCCAGAGCAAATGAATAAAGATGGCCAAAAAAGGCAACTTTACTCTAATTCTTGAAGTACCAAATAGCAATTCGTCAAACTAACGAACTAACAATAATAATACTCTCACCCACAGGCACAAACACACCGAAAACTCACAGCATATTTGCATGCTCTATATCAGCCTCGAGAATTTGGAGACAATCCTGGCAAGAAGATGACCCAACAAGCTGATAATAATCCATCATCTCTCAACTTTTCCTCTAATTGGGCTTGTGGATGACTGAATTTTTTTTGTCTGACAGGGTCTGTGGAGACCTGACCAGTTTGTTGTGAAAATGATACGAAATTATTATCAGCTGCAAAACCCAATAATGAACAAAATCACGTATGACTAGCCATCTTTATATATATATTTTCATTAGTGTTCAATGAGTAGGCAGAGACAAAGAGAGAGGGTGGTGGTCATCAATGAGTGTGGAAGAAGCTATGGTTTGTGGGTCAACCTGGTTTTTGGAGGGAGAGAGAGAGAGAGAGAGATTTGGTAACCGTTCTGAATTTTGATCCTTTTTTGTTAAATGTAATCTGGCTTTTGACTGTTTTCACTACTTTAGCTGAGCGACTACGAAGGAGACAAGGTGTCAAATCCTTTTGGGAGGAAATTATAGTTAGATCCCTTAAACTATGAGTTTAATTTCAAACTTATTTTTTTAACTATCTATTTTTTTTTTACATTGTATCTTAAATTGTTAATTTGAGTTTTACAATACCCTAATAATTACCTGTTGTTTAATTTTTTATGGAAAATTGTAGCAAAAATATAAATCCTTCTATTTGATGACAAAAATACTACATCTCTTAATATTACGGAATCTCATTTTTGCCTTAATTTGCTTAAACAATGGACATAGATTAATAATTAAGACAATGTAAAATTAAAAACAAAAATTTAAGGTGCAACGTGCAAAAATAGGCAATGTAGTAAATAATTTAAAATGAAATACATAGTTCATAGGGTTTGAGTGTAATTTTTTCTTAAACAAAATTTCCCAGCTGTTGATAAAAAAAAGGGGTGACGATTATCCCCAATTTTTATGCAAAATTTTATTTAAATTTGAAGTCGAGAAAAAACATGCTAAAAATAATTTTTAATAGTTACTCAAATTCATATCAAATAAAAAGAGATTTAAATTTTTACTCAAATAAAAAAAATTCAAACATTAAATAATCATATTTTACTTTTTAAAAAATCTAATAATTATATTTCATCCTCATATTAATTTTGAATTTTCCCATTAAAGTGATTTGTATACGCCCTTAGGTTGGTACTTTGAGTCGGAATCCTTTATTAACGGGATCTTTTTGAGAAACAATAATAAATACAACAGAGATTTTGATTTGTCTTGGCATTTGGTTTTTAATTATTTGAGTAATCCAATCATTATCTCCGAATCAGTAAAATACTATTAGGAACAGAATGACACTTCTATCCTCTCACTTTTGTAGTAGGTAGGTGTTACGACCTTAGCCCTCGACTCGGCGTTGGCGTAGAATAGTCTCACCCAAAGGCGTCAATGTCTTGCCAAACTGAGTTTCGCTTGAGGAAGTAAATTTTTGGTGCAATCAGTGGGTGATTGAAGTCTCATGCATGGTTGGGCGTAAAAGCTAATTTATGGGCACGTGGGCACAAATAGACATGCAAACATAGACAAGTCGGGTGGTTCAGTTTGTGGAGTAATGCTAACTTGAAAGACCAAGTCATGAGCTGGGCATGACTAGGCACAAATGCAAGGTTAATCAGGTGTTGTAGGCTCGTAAGGAAAGCAGATGCGCAACATGTGAGGCAATTCCGAACAATTGTGGCATGTGCCCTACATATGGTGACAGTTTCAGACAGTTGGTGGCATGTGCATGACATGCAGAAGCGGTTCTGTGCAGAATGTTGGCATGCGCACCGCATGAGGGTGCTGGCATGTGCGCTCATCATGCACAGCAGTTGAGGGCAGTTGCTAGCTGGATCAACCAACAGTTGCAACTGTCCCTTACCATGAGCAGCAGATGTGGAAGAGGACCTGAACATCATCAACAGCCTGAGGGGTGGCTTTGTGGGCATATCTGAATTACCATGTAGTTGCCTAAGCGGTTGGGTTTGTAACTGTCATCTTGTATGGTATAAATATACATGTTAGGGTCTGTAATGTATCAAGAGAGTGTTGGACACGTTTTTGTAAGCAGATTCTGGCAGAGTGTTGGACACGTTTTTGTAAGCAGATCCTGACGGAGTGTTCCTTTAGACTTTATTAAGAAAAGAAAATGTTGGGCCATTGGCCTGTAAACTTGTGTTTGCTTACTATCCCTATTCTGTTCATTTTGTGTGTATTATGTGAGCATTGTGAATACTTGTCTGAGACTGAGTGTAGGATCTCAGTGTCATCACGAGGCAAAAATTTGATGAGAAATTTGGCCCCATAACAGTAGGCCTATAACTAATCCAATTAATTAGCATGCATCAACAAACATTAATTATTTTTATTTACCGACTACATAATATGCAAAATTAATAATTCAATTAACAATATGAAAAATCCACTTAATGTGTGATGAAACAATAACTCGACTGGGTTTTTTAAAGAAAAAAATGGGATTTAATATTTGGTCTCCCTTTTATTCTCTTTCCTTTTGGTGTTGTACAATAGAAAATTCGTTATTTGAGTGCTCAAAACATATGGAGAGTGTGAGTTGACGAGGGTTTTTAATTGTGTGCGTTTACACGATAATTATATTTGTTTTGTTAAAAAAAAAAAAATCGTTGAGGACAACTCATTTTCTTTTTCAAATATAACTTTTGTTGATTCTGTATGTCCCATTGTGTAAAAGGTGAAATAAAAGAATAGAATATGATTTGAACCATATGATAATGATAATTTTAATTTAGACTCAAGATAATTTTTCTTAGACTTGGGCTTTCATGGAAGTTTTTGGTATAATTTAGGCTTTTAGGGGTCGTTTGATAACGTTTTTATTTTCGCGTCTTCAAAAAAATAAAAACATAAACAATTTTTGTCTCTTACACCCACACCTTCTTTTGGGGGTGCAACGTAAAACCATTATTTAGTGAATTAATGTTAGAGGCGGGCTTATCATTAATGATATATTTTTTTGTTCATTTTTTTACATTATTTAATTCTCTATTTTTAATCTCTATTTTTTTTTTGATAAAAAAAAGGTAAAGGGTTAAAAAAATGACTTGTTTATAATGGTCCCAAGAATGTGAAAAATGTTGTGATTGGATCATTGGCTGGCCCCCAGGTTGGGGTGTTAACTGTAATTCATCAATACGAATTCGATACGACACGATAATGAAATTGACACGATTAATAACCCCTATGTGGTTGCCACGATTAATTAACTCTTATGTATGATAAATAATCTAGATTAACATTTAATACTTAAAATATATTAAATATATATTTTTTTTCTCACGGGACTTGAGTTTTGACACGAGCACAGTATGAATAACAACCACACAACATAAAAATAATGACACGTGAATTACATGACACAGACACTAATTGACACCTCTACAACCACGAGTCCTTTACTCTTTTGGGTATATGCCATGAAATAGAGGGGATAATTCTTACAAAAACTCAAAGTGTGGGGGCAATGGCGGATTTAGTATGGGAGCAGTGGGGGCAGCTGCCTCCACTGAAATTTTCTTAAAGTATAGGGTATATTATTATAATTTTTAATCCTTAAAAGTTAACTGTTGGCAGCTCCTCCTCATTTTTCACGCCTGACAGTTGCCCCCACTAAAATTTTAAAAAATTTTGGAACCTAAGTGTAATTTTAAAAATTTACAGAATTTTTTAAACTTACCCCACTGAAATTTTCTTAAAGTATAGAGTATATTAATATAATTTTAAATCCTTAAAAGTTAACTTTTGATGGCTCCTTTTCACGCTTGTTTTTATTTTTCGTAAGACTTCGTCTTCTTCATCCAAACTTCTAGTCCAGTCCAGGCGTCTAGCCGGCAGCCCTTCTTCTTTCTTTTATTTAGTTTCTTTGTTAGTTCTTTTGGTGTATTCATCAACAAATCACCCTATTGAATTCAATCATTGTGCAAATCAAATTTGAAGAAATTCTAGAAGATTATGTTGAAGTTAAGGAGAGGTAATCCATTAACCAAATTTTTTGATAGTAGTGTTGGCAATAATCTAAAATCAGATTTTTTATATTAGAAAATTAGTTTTAACTCTAGTAGAATTGATGGTTGTTTGGTGTATTATTTATGGACTAATGTAGGTTTTTTTTGTTTCGATTGTCTATCTGAGATTCTTGGTTAGTGTTATTTTTCTTCCCTAAGATTAAATTGTTTTAATTGATTTCTTGAAATTTAAATTTGAATTATATTTTGGATTTATGAATTATATTTTGATTAAGTGTAATCCATTATCTCATTTGTTACGAACTTAATGACGAACTCTTAAACTTGAATCTAAATAGACAAATTTATTTTTCAATCAGCTATGAATAGGTTGTCTCCACTAAGACAAAATCCTGGCTCCGCCCCTGTGTGGGGGTAACTGATAATTTTTGCCAATGCGAGGCTCTGCTTGTAATTTTGACAATTCAGACAAGAGATATATATGAAAAGCCCAAACTCTGGACCGTCTGAGTCGAGAGAGGGAGTGGGAGAGAGAGAGAGATTGGGAGGGAGAGACTGATGGCTTGTGTTCTATTCTTAATGTCGCTCTCTCTGCAGGCCAACGTTCAAGTACACTTGAACTCTTCGCCTCTTTTGCAAAAAGCTCAAGTCTCTCTCTCTCCTTCTCTCTCTGATTAATATATTTATGTTTACGATGTACTTGTTTGTTTGCATAATTGAGATCGTGTTAGGGAAGAAAACGGAAAGGTTGTTGGGTGTCATCTAATATCAATTGTAGGATTGAATCTACAGAGAATTGTTGAATTGTAATTTGGATGTATTTATAACATATAAGTGAGCATGTACATGTGTGAGTAGTCCCTATTTTGAAATTGATCTCCTAATTATTTATATTTATAGAGATTGAGGAGCGCCTATTACTCACGTGAAGTTAGAAACGGGATGTCTAATCTTATGCTTTTTGAAATTGTTCTCCTAATTATTTTTAGAGATTGAGGATCGCCTTGTTACTCATATGAACTAGAAACGGGATGTCTAATCTTATGATTTGTGTTGTTCTTAATACCAAAAAATGCAAAA